TGGTTTATATTTTTAACAACATGTGTCAAGAGCTCCAAAAGCCGAGAAGAAATAAAGGACATCAGTGAATTCATCTTTACATATTAAATGTTCTTGAGGTCCACTCATTATTTATTCTGACTGTTTCCCACTTTAAAATAATAGTAAGATGTAAACTCTGAAGCAGCACACATATGATGTAGGTGTCACGAATGAAAAACTTCTTTCTTTATGAGGTGATTTTAAACACTATTGAGGAGGAACGTTTGATGACGTCTATCTAAAACATAGCCTGAAGCGTACTAGCTCTAAAACCCTAGTATAAGTGTAATTGTTAGAATTTCCAAGGATCAGCATTCTCCCATAAAAGTGACTGCGAAGTCCAAACTGTTAGTTGTAGAGATTTGAAACTTGTAGTACCAAAGTCCCATTAAACAAGTAATTTCATTCGGCGGCCATCTTGGCCCCAGAGGCCTGTGAGAAATTTGAAAGAAATCACCCACCTTTAAGTTTTTCACATGCGTTTGGGTTGTATATCATTGTATTTTTCGCACAATCACACAACATTCAATTTTATATACCATATGGTACAAATCTGTCAATCAAGATGTTCGTTAAATATTGGAAATTATTCATTTAAAAACCTACTTTCGCAAAAATAGTCCAAGGTTTTTGACTCAACCTTGATAACTATTAAAAAGCTTTCAGTCTACTATATTTCCTCAGTAAGTTGCCTGTATTGGCTGTAAATTATGTTTTCCATGATCTATGATCCAAGTGGCTACATGCTTGCTAGATGAATACATTTTACAAATGTGCTTAAAGGCCTTAAAGTGCTTGAACCGCAATAATTGCTGCTAGCAGCAATACTATTTATGATATAACGTACTGTAAGTGATGTACGTTGACTGTCACCAGACCGTTAACATTTGAACCATAAGGGCGGGAACCAACTGATGGGCTGTAACTAAAAATAACTCAACGACGTAAAAAAAAAAAAAAAAATGACCCAACAAATTTTAATATAACCCAATGAATATGTGATTGGGGTAATAAAAAAACAAAACACACCATTGTTTTTAACTAGTTTGTCTGCAAAAGTGTTTATCTTCAGATAACAAGGGTTTTCAGATCCTGAGGGAGTGATCGGGGAAGGCTGCCCAAACTTTTGACCCAGAAACAGGTGTCATTTACCTTCTTTTTCCCCTTGCAGTGGCAGCACACCCTCCACAGGTACTTGAGAGTCCTCCACAGCAGGATGATGAAGAGACCCCCAAAGAAAGTGACCATAGAGGAGGCGAGGAAAGCCCACCACATCCTCTGGCCGTTCACAGGGTCACACGGCACGTCGGAGGTGTACGGGATGATCACGTCCATCTTCCGAACCGAGGACGGACCCGCTTTTGAATGCTCGATTGGATAGGTCATTACTGTGGAGAGCTGCTTCTCATCACCGTCGTTATCTTCATCTTCTTCAGTGGGGAGCATCGAGCGTCTCTCTGTTGATTTCAGCGCCCCACACCTGATGATCAGCCATGTTGGTCAGGGCGGACACCCGCGAGTGTGTGCCCGTGTGCGCGCACTCTCCTCCCGCTACGCTCTCCGCTCTCGCCCGCTCTCCGGATCTCCACGCAACCACTAACGCGCAGTTGAAAAGTCGTCCCCAAAACGCACTACTCCTAGAAACGCGTCGGTGCGTCTTTAAACGAGGTCGTGCTGGGGATATTTATCATGATAAAATATAGAAAAAAACATTCCCACGATTTAAAGCCTGCGTGACCGTCCGCGAGCTGATCTCCCGTGCGCTCGCTGATGATGGACAGACTGCGGTCTGATCATACGGTAACGTGTTGCGTTCAGCTCCGGTCTATTCATCCGGCGAGTTCAGGGCAGATTTACAGGTACCGGAGGGCGGAGTCAGTCAGTCTGATGCCCGTCAAAACGTCTCCAAAACCCAGCCAATAGTCCAAACATCCATCAGTCGCTCCTATTTTACAGACATCTGTCGAGCTTCAAAAAATATCATCGTGGGCGAATTCTGTGAGGGGGTGGGCGCTTACATACTGGTAAAATATTCAAAACGCTTCAGTCACCATAAAAAGTACGATTTCAAGTTAGTCAGAGCGCTAAATTGGCACGAGCGAAGCGCTTTAGCCCGAGAAAGTAACCATGGCAACAGTGTTATGACGAAAATCGAGAAAGTCCGCTGCCATCGTTTATCAACTTATTGTTGACTTAGTTACACAACACAAATGTATTAGCAAAACATTGGGATTTGTTTAAAATGCCGTTAACGTAACTGTTACTTAAACAAACGCGTGTGTTGCTCGAGTCCAACTGGATTACTGACAGAAAAAGTAGCGTGAAAGTTGAATAATTCAGAGATTATACATTACTATTTTTAAAGTTTTTGAAAAAAAGTGGTCTCTTATGCTCAACAAGCCTGTATTTCTTTGATTACAAATACAGAAAAAAACTGTATTTGAAAAAAAAAAATTAAAAAAGAAATTAAAACTTTTATTCAAGCAGGGGTGAGTTAAGTTGATAAAGTGATAGGCTAGTAAAAGATATTAATTTCTATTTTGAATCAATGCTGTTCTTTTTAACGTTTCATTCATCAATAAATACTGGAGAAAATATTAGCGGTTTCCAACATTGATAATAAATCATTAAAGTGATTTCTGATCATGTGACACTGAAGACTGGAGTTACGATGTTGAAAATTACATGAATAAATTACACTTTACAACAGTAAAAAAAAAAAAGTTAAGTTGTCCTAAAACAAAAACGGATTATGTTAATCCACTCAAATGTTGACTAATATAACAGCTTTTTTAAATTGTAATAATATTTCAGAATATTACCGCATTTTTGATCAAATAAATCCAGGTTTGAGCAGAAGATCTTTCAAAAACATTAAAAACGAAATGTTTCCAAACTTTTGACCGGTACTATACACACACACACTTTTAAAATCACCAGTTTTTATATTGAAATATGCCAGTGGTATATATCAACACTTTCAAAAATAAGAGCGTTGACAATTTTGATAATTTACTACATGGTGTTTGTTTCTAAAGAAAGCTGCAATTTCTACAAATATTAATGTGTCAATCAATAATGACTTGTTATTCATTGTTAAAGTCATTCATATTGCACCCCCCCCCCCTCTCATCATGAACACTGAGTTATTGCACATCACCAGACCTGCATGAGTATTATGAACATATATTTTAATGTTTTTAATGTTTGTATTGTTTAATGTTTAATATTTGTAATGTTATTACTATTCAGATTTGATTCCAGATATGCCCGTCTTCTCCATCTGACTCCACACACTTCTAGGGAAGTAAAGCTAAATCAGGAATCTGTTGAAAAAACAAATATTCCACACAAGTATGCAAATATATTTACAAAAGCTTTTTTTAAAGTTACTAAAAATAAAAGTGAGGTTTTTTCCTATCGCTAGAGAAACAATAAAAGTTCCTTTTAGTCACATTTGAAGCTCTTTTTTCATCCTTTTGCTTGAAAACAAATAATCTTCATTCTGCCACCTGATCTTTTCTTCATCCAGAAATAATTATCATTGGATGTTTATATAACCCTCATCATGATGATCACAGTGAAGTAGGATATGGCGCCATCTGGTGGTGACTCGACTCCACACAGGAACTCGCAGTGCACAGATTGTAGAATTTTATAGAATTTAAAATGCCGTACAGTTCCAGGTTTTCCACGATGAACTGAAAACACACACTCAGATAGACAAAGTTACTCTGCTAAAAGAAGAAATTCCTTTTAAACAACCGTGCTTAATTTAGACTTTATTATTGTAACAATTACAAAATCATAGGATTCTTTAATGTGGCAGTACCAATGTGTTATACAATTATAAAACATAATGAAAAACTATTAAATGGAATTATGTGTGTTTTTTTCCAGCTACAAACACAAACACCAGACGTGATGTTGAAGCAGCTAAACCAGGCGACTCGTTTCATTGGTCATCAGGGGTCAGAAAGGAAGTGATGTCACTGTGGCTAAACAGGTAAACAGGAAGACTAGTGTAGTACCAAAGCTCTCCTGCCACTGAGTTTCACTACTGAGAGGATTAACTACTAACTCCTGAACGAGGAGTTACTCATAAAGTAGGTTTGTCCACCTTTCCATTGAACTCAAGTGCAAATTAGAGGAAACCCTTTGGCACGTCTGTTTCTGAAGAGGAGAGGAGCTTTAACATACAAGCACTATTAAGCATTCAGCCTACACAACACATTTAAATTAGAGTTAAAAACGGTAAAAATAATCAGAGCATATAGTAAAATGATCATGCAGCAGATTATTGCATCGCTCATTTAAATAATAAAAAAAGTCAAATGAAATAAAGAAACTGCTACATTGGCGTTTAAAGGAATGGTTCACCCAAAAAGTTGCAGAAAGTTCCCGCTGCTCTTTTCCATGGAGTGAAAGCCAAAAAAAGCACTTTATAGACCATTTTGCAAGATGTAAACAACACTTCCTGTTTCAGTTTGTAACTGTTTTCTTTATTTCACAATTAAAAAAAAATCTTAAAGATGTTTTTGATTCAGTTTTATATGTTCTTTTGCATGTATTTTGTCCCAGCTTTTATGTAGTGTTAAAAAACCTAAACAGGAAGTGCTTCTGGACCAGTTTTGTTTACATCTTGCAAAATGGTCTATATCCCGATTCATGACGGCTTTGAGTGAAAAAAAACCCTTTCAGCTTCTAAAACGCATTATTTTATGGCGCTTCTGCGTTGGTTTGAGGTTTTCCAGCCCGTCTCCACCGCACTTAGTATCTTTGTCTCGTTTCCAGTCCAAATATCACACATTTCTTAAATCAAGATGCATTATGACATAAGAATTTATGTAATTTTCTTACTTGTTTTCTGGGGAAATTTATCAAAATAAAGAGAGTTTAAAACAAGCAAAATGATCCTGTTTGAATTAAGATTATTTTCTGTCCCCACTGGCAGATAATTGAGCTTTTTTTAGGCATCAACTCACTTAATTCTGATTAATTTGTTATCGACATCTTACGTTATTTCACTCATCTAGTAGAGGCATCTTGATTTAGGGATTTTTTGACATTCAGACTGACACAAATACTGAGTAAAAAGGCTTTTTTTGCAGTGCCGTGTGGAAAAGAGCAGCCCGAACATCTGCTGTTGTTCATCGAACATCAAATGACGTTGATTTCCAGGTGAACGAATCCTTCAGCACAGCGATCGGAAAACAAACCCAACTCGTAAATTGAGCGTCTGTGTGGACCTAAGCTTGGATCGGACAGATACATGAAGTTAAACGTTCAAGTAAGCTGGTTCATAAACATCAACTCTGTAAACATGAAGAACTACATGAAAGCCCTCATAAATTAGTGTTACCACAGAGAAAACATGATATTGCTGCCCGCTCACGTCGCAAACGACACATACAGTTGTGGTCGTCGTTGCCTGAGAGTTTGTTCAGGGCTGGGCGATAATAAACAGCGATATTTACAGAAAACTACAAAGGGACATTTATGAGCATTCTGTGAGTGATGATGCCAACTAATCCTCCAATCAGACCAAATAATATATAATATTAAACGCTTAATATTGACTGAAACATGCCACAGAGCCCAGCCCTAGTGAGTTTTACAGCAGTGGAGTGTTGAAACAGTGTGAGATTGCTAGCGAGGCCTTGTTATTATTGTGAAAGATGTGTGTGTGTGTGTGTGTGTGTGTTTCTTCACGTGCTTCCGTCAGGTATCCACAGGACTTTGTTCTGCTCCTGGTCCACGATGGCCATGATCTGAGTGCATATGTTGGACAGACTGCCGGCCTGGACGACACCTGCATCAGATCACACACAAACACGTCGTCGTCACATGTGCGTCAAACGTGGAAATGTGTGTGTGTGTGCGTGTGTGTGCGTCTCAGACCTGTGAAGTATTTGCTGTAGTCTTGATCGATCCTCTGCGCCGACTCGAACTGCTCTTTGGAATGTTTTTGTGACACTTTGTCTCGCAGATACACCGGGTCTTTCTGCTCCCTGAGTCAATAAAACACACACACTGAGTACTAGAGCCCGACCGATACCGATACAAATATTTATTGGTAATAAAATCCGATATATCGGCCGATATTTTTTTTTTCCAGAAACGCGCAACAAAACATTAACAGATTTCCCTAACGTTAGTTATTTGTAGTTATTTATGAGTTTTAACTAAAATAATATGATAATACATTTTATAAAGAAACTTGTTTCTTTTATTGTCACAACAGAACAGACTGATGATAGTGGCATTAGCTAGCTAGTCTATGATGAGCCATAATTTAGCCATTTATAATGGATAACGGCACACTGCAATTTGTAAAACATACATTTTTAATATAACAGGCCAAGGAGAGATGATAGGTCTCATTGTTATAACTGTCACGCGCTATTAAAGTCCCTGTAAAGTCAAAATTAAGTATGTGTTCTGAGTTTGTCACACCACAGAAAAATGTGTAATTAGCCACCCAGCCAAATTTGAATGATAAAAAAAGTCGGGAAGTACATAAAATAAGCTATCAAAATCATGAAAAAATTAAAGCTGCAAGCAGCGATGGGCGGGCCCTCGCACCTGTAGCGCGTTGGGGTGTGAGACGGCCGCGTTGCATATTTTGCAGCTCAGCCGGTGCGGCTGTGAATTTGCTACGCTGCTTCATTAAAGGTCACTTCCTATTGCCAGCAGGTGGCGCTATGACTGTGGGTGAATGTCGGCATGTAGATTTGTTCAGGGCGGGACTCTTGTCAAATGTGTAAAATTTTGTGCAGATCTGGGCATTTACAGCCAAGTTACTACAACTTCCTGTTTCATGGCGAATCATCGACGCCACCGACACGCCCATTGACTAAAACGCGCAGATAGCACAACTTTACATCGTCAATGCCTTTAGAAGGTACAGCAGAAATTTGAAGTCGATCCGACTTAATCCCTAGGAGGAGTTCGTTAAAGTACGGAGTGTGTAAATCGTCCAAAAATGGGCGCCAAATTCAAAATAGCGGACTTCCTGTTGAGTTTAGGGTATGGGTTCTTGAGGCTTTTTTGTGCATCTTGATATGATACACGTCCCCACCAAATTTCGTGTTTGTAGGTTGAACGTGGACGAGGGGCTAATTTTTTCCAATTTTCTAGGTGGCGCTAGGGAGCCATTTTGCCACGCCCATCCGCGAAACCCACAAAATACGAAATTTTTCACCAGTCCTGACATGCGTGCCAAATTTGGTGAGTTTTTGAGCATGTTGAGGCGCTTACTTTGCAGAAAAAAAAAATAAATAAATAACCCTAACAGTTTCAAGAGGGTCCTCGCACTGTTAGTGCTCGGGCCCTAATGAGCAGATTCTCTGCTCTCAAACGCTGGGGGCGTGTCCGCTGGCTGCGCTGAAACCACGCCCACTAGCGGGAAAGCTGTTGACGGTGATATTAGCTGATTAGCTTTTGGAGACGGGAGGATGAACACTGAGGCGGGAGATCGTCGTTTCGGCCCCGTTCACCAGTAACAGCGGATTATCAGTGAATGCCAGTTGTCTCTGAGGAAAGTTTATAAAACGATCCAGTGTAAAACGATCACTACAGAGGCGGGTGTTGGGGGTGATCCTCAGCTCTTCATCAAGGTTGGCTCTCTAAAAACCTCTTCTTGATGTGATCGTTTTTAGGGGAATTTAAATGAAGATACCGATCTGTTTTGTACATGATCGCATCCAGGTAGCAGCCCATGCATGTCCGTGTCGAAGGCATAGCTAGCTAGAAAACTGTAGGCTCAGCTGTAGTAACTAATAGTACTGACAGACACTCGCGATTGAGCGGTGAATGCGAATGTGCTCGGGGAGTGTTATTGTGTGTTAAGGGAGAGATCAGACTCTGTACGTCATCAAATAGGGGCGTGTCCAGGAGCACATGGGCTCCAGTGCGTCATCGAGCCCTGTTTTAGCCCCGCCCAATTAATCCGTAAAATAGCAATGGTGAAAAACTGTTTAACGGTCTAACTCCACATTTCAGTACTTCACAGTTCACAGACTTTGTAATATGTTTTAGCAATACATATGCAACATTTATGTGTTTAGAACTTTTTTTTGGAATTGACTTTACAGTGACTTTAAAGAAATACTTCAGTCACATGGTCAAAAGCTAAAAGGACAGTCAGTCAACTACACTGTAATAACGTAACATAATTATTATTATTATAAAGATTTAACAGCAGCAAAACTGGACATGATAGTCACAAATTTTGTCATGTTTATGGATGTTCTTTTAATTGTTATTCAAGCAATGTATGTCTCGTGACCAACTCAACGAGTGTTGCCAACAGGAACAGTGTAGAGCGCCCTCTGGTGGACAAACTATACAACTGCAACACTCATGACATGGTTCAAGCGTGTTTCGTCCATTTTTATTTTATTTTTGAAATATTCATTTATCAGCCATTATAACTGCAGATACCGATAGTTTGGAAAATGCCTAATATCGGCCGATAATATCGGTCTGGCTCTACTGAGTACAGACACACTTGCCAAACCACACACACACTGTTGCCAATTGTATTGTGTTCCGGTTGTGGATCCGCGCTGACGTGTGTGTGGTGCGTCCGTGTATTCGGGTTCTGGACAAATAAACGCAAGTGTTCCTCTGTGTGGAAATCCTTAGACATGTGTGTGAAGATTGTTTTGTACAGCGTGCGTCTTCCTCAGACTGTAACCGAAGCTCGGCCGCACCAGACACAACAGAACCGGAAGACAACACAACGCTGAATAAAGTCGCAGTTGGTGTTATTGTTGGACCAAAATGTATTTTCGATGCTTCAAAATATTGTTACTAACCCACTGATGTCACATGACTACTTTGATGATGTCTTTATCTCACACATTTCCAATGGAGGGACAGAAAGCTCTCGGACTAAATCTAAGATATCTTAAACTGTGTTCTGGAGATGAACGAGGTCTGATGAGGGAGAGTCTTTAATGACATTATTTTCATGTTTGGGTGAACTAAACCGTTCAGGATGAATCGAGACATACTTGATCGTCACTTACTTGATCTGCTTGGCGTTTCTGTAGCGTATGAATATGACGATGGGGTAAATGTTGACGACGTGCAGCCGCTCGATGGCGTGAGGAGCGATGTCCAGAAGACAGTGGCACTCCTGAGAGAAACAGAGACGGCGACACCGGTGGACAATGACAATGTTTTGAGTGATGAAAATAATTAATATAATACTATTTTAAAATAACAATACATTTATAATATTTTATATTATATTGTAGAGAGAGAGTGAGAGAATAAAAATATTTATTACTAATAATACTATTCATCATATTGTCTCATTGCATCATAATACATACATACATATACACACGTACATTTATTATATTGTGTATGTGCAAATATTGTATATAGTAAATATTTATTTTAACGAATAAAATACCATTGGTTTTAATGGTATTAATCATTGATTTCATGACGAATTTCCTATTTTTTTTTTTACGGTTTTGTTGCATTTGTTACTTTGTCATTTATATACATTTATTAATTTATCAGATACTTTTCATGCAATGTATTAATTTTCATCCAAGATGTCCACGTCTTTCTTTCTTCAGTCGAAAAGAAATGAAGGTTTTTGATGAAAACATTCCAGGATTTTCTCCATATAATGGACTTCAATGGGGTCCAAACGGTTCAAGGTCTAAATGAGAGTTTCAGTGCAGCTTCAAAGCTCTTTAAACGACACCAGACGACGAATAAGGGTCTTATCAAGCGAAACGAGCGGCCATTTAATAAATAAATAGCAAAGTTTAAGTTTTATAAGCTCAAATGCTCGCCTTGCTCTGTTCTGTGATGCGCGTTAGTGACTCTCCTTCAAAATGAACAAATCTTTTTTCGTGTCATTTGGTTAATTCAATGAACTAAATGAACAAGTTGACTTGGGAAAAGATTCGTTCATTTTGATGAACGAGTTCGAACAGGAGAGTCACGAACGCGCATCACAGAACAGAGCAAGGCGAGCATTTGAGCTTATAAAACTTAAAACTTTGTTATTTATTTATTAAATGGCCGCTCGTTCCGCTAGATAAGACCCTTATTCATCGTCTGGTGTCGTTTAAAGCCCTTTGAACAGTTTGTACTGAAACTCTCATTTGGACCCCATTGAAGTCCATTATATGGAGAAAATCCTGGAATGTTTTCATCAAAAACCTTCATTTCTTTTCGACTGAAGAAAAAAAGACATGGACAATTTGGATGACATGGGGGTGAGTAAATTATCAGCAAAAGTTTATTTTTAAAATGAACTACTCCTTTAAATAGTAAAACAATAAAAAACAATATTAACTTATTTATGTCTGAAAAGCAGTAGGAAGAAGCATGAGCTTATTCAATCCTACCCCTTCACACAACTTATCAATAATAATCCACTGGCCGATCATCTTAACCTATTTTTCTCCATACACACCGAGAATACATAAATAACAAACATATTTACCTATATATGTATCCACATAATTATTAAACAATGCTATATATATATATTATAAATGAACTGAGATCACTTATTCAACGACCTTCTTCATTCTCGTTCTCGTTCTTGTCAAAACTATCCTTTAGTTCCGCTTTTTGAACTCAGTTATGCTTGGACATTGAGCACTAAACTCAGTCTGTTCCACAACTTCACTCCACATATAAAAACACAAAAACGTTTTAATGTCGTACGGACACTGGAATGTTTAAAGTTTCATGCACTCCTAAAATTATCCCTCCCTTCTCTATTCACAAACAGCTTTTGAATATTGCTAAAATATTGACATAAAAACATAAGATATTCATGAAATCAGTTCAGATTGATGTGGATGGATTGGTTCCGAGTCTGAGGCGTCTCACCTTCTCTGTGATTTCTTTAATGGAGGCCACAGTGGTGACGTCGAAGTGTCCGCTCCTGCGCTTGTAATCGATGAAGAGACAGTCTTTGACGCCGCGCTCGATGGCCTGCTGGGTCGCCTTCATCCCCTCTGAACAAAGAACATGATCACACATGAGGACTCAGGCCTGGAGTGTTTTAAAGGGGTCGTGACATTATATTATAAGCTCTTTATACAATAAAAAAAAAACATCAGGCAAGTTTCTTTGCTTTCTTTCAAGCTCCAAAAACGGCTTGTTTGGATATTGCGGGATTGTGTTCAGATTTCTGAAGGATCAGGATTTCTGAAGGATATTTTATTTGAACTAACCATAAGGAAATGATTTCATCATAGAGTGCCGAAGTTACGACGTCACTATGTAGGCCAAAACGCGGAAGTGAGTTAGCATTTTAGCACTACGGTTCCCTCGCTCTAAAGCCTATGGGATTTTTGAATGGGATTTTGCTAAATCGCCTGAAATAAGGTCTGTGGTGAACAAAGCCTCTAAATATGTTCACGTTTTGATCTATGACATAAAACACACAGTTATAACCAGCTTGTGGTTTTTTAAACTTTATTGTGTCTGATTGTGTTTTTTAAACTCTTTATATAGGCTAGGCTTCAAAATGTATACATTTTGGATTAACTTGTAAAGATTATCTTGCTAGACAAAACGTGTAAGGGTCACAACTCTTTCTTAAACACAGATCTTATTTTTTGCAATTTTCCAAAAGTCTATGGGGAAAATGCATTGCTTTTCGACCGAGGGAACCCATGCGCCGCTAGCTTCCGAGTTGTCCTACAAAGTGACGTCATCACTTCGGCACTCTATGCTTGGTCTGTAAATGACGGCGTTTCCTATCTAATGACTTTAGCCAATCATAACAGTGGCCAATTTTTACTGACAAGCCTTAAAAAAAAACAATCGTTTCAGACAGAACGAGGGTTGAAAATCGTCGTTTTTCTAGATATATATTTGTTTTTGTGCAAAAAAACGTTATTAACATTATAAGTGAACCTCAAGGAACATTAAAATGATTTTAAAAAAATGTCATGACCTCTTTTTTTATTTTTATTTTTTATTTATCCTTTATTTAACCAGATAAAAAAACTAATTGAGATTAAAAATTTCTTTTACAAGAGAGACCTGGCCAAGATGCAGCATAAAATGCATAAAGAGACACATTTTAACATATATAAAAACACATACATATATATCACAAAGACCCAGTGCTGAAAAAAAAATAAATAAACAAAACAAAACAATTAATACAATTTTATGAACAGTTACACTGACCAATGTCCTCCTGCTCCCTATTCTTCAGCATTGAAACAAACTGTTTATAAGAAGTGGCATTTAAATTGAAATGGCTTTAAATTGACATTACGTGTCAAATGCGAGTAGATCTCACCAGGTAAACAGCGGCAGTATTTCCCAGGAGCCTCTCTGAGCAGCATGTCTTTGATTGGCTCAACAAGAGGCCCCAGTATCAACACCGGCCTGCGATTGGCTGATTCCAGTTTCTGCACGCGCTGATAGGCCGGACTTACACAGTCTGAACACACACCATCACATAACATGAGAAATGAATTGTGTGAATAAGTTTTAGAGCTACATGTGTGTGTGTGTGTGTGTGTTTCTCACCCTCCATGAACAGCACTGAGTCTGTGCTGACGGTGTCTAACGCAGGAGCGTCACGGGCGTCTTTAGAGCTGCTGCGTTTGTGTTTGAGTTTACGCCGAAAGAACGACCGGCGCGCCGCGGCTGAGACCGTTTTACCAGAACCGCTCTCGTCCTTAGCGTCTGTGATGCTGTACCGCCGCTGGGAGTCTTGATCCATCCTACACACACACACACACACACACACACACACACATATATATCTTATAAGATGCATACATGCTTTATCATGTGCACTGAAGTTTTTAAAATCACCAACCATAACCAAATGGAAACAGAGACTAAAACAGATTTACATGACGGAAAAAATGACTGCATCATTACAACTGAAAACTGACCTTTTTAATCAGAGGTGGCACATATATTTAAATCTATAATCTTTTTTTTTTTTTTTTTACATTATATATTTTATATTATTGTATCATGTTTGTTGAGATGTGAACATTAATACTAGGTGCAGCTATATATATATATATATAAATATTTGTATTTATATAGGCTATTTATTTATTTATTTATTTTTCTTTGTATTATTCTTATTATTGTATCACTTGAAATCTCTTATTGTCTCAGATAATGTTCCTTTTGTTATGTTCTGTGAAAAAAATAAATAAAAAGTTTTTAAAAAAGTCTCCCTGTGGTGAAAATCCAACTGTTAATGTTGTTTATGTGTGTATGTGGTGTTTTTAATCTGCTTTAACACACACCATGTGTAAGTTCATGAGTCGACAGCATTGCTGAGTATTTCCTACTTAAAACTGCAGTGAACCAAAGACAGTCTCAAAAACACGGTGTGAAATCGCTGACGTCACAAACGACCTTGTAACCAATCAGATCAACGTGTGATCGTCAACTGAGTCAGTGGAGGCGCGGCTCATTTGCATATTCATAGCAACACACCACGCATACTAAATGAGGCAAGGGTGTCAAGTTACATTCAAGCTGTTTAAGGCATGAATATATTGTTTTAAAGGAAAAAAAAACATTTAAATATGTAATTTTGGTGATCAAAGATGAGTTTTAAGGGATTAAAAACAGCTTGACTCAAGAAACATTTCATGTTTAATTATAAATAAATCAAAAACTGAATATTACATGATTATCACATAAAGACCTACATGCACTTGCTGGGCACATGTCCGCGCATCAGTTTCTGTGCGTTCTCGTCCAGTTGCCATGCCAACCAGTAGCCGAAATTCCCCCTGGGCAGTGTGTCGTCCACGTAGAGGATATCATCCTTCTTGAAACTCAACTCCTGCTCTGAATCACCAACATGGTCAAATAAAGCCCTGAAAGACAAACACATGAAGAGTAAGAATATGCAAAGCATATAGATGATTTATTGTATATATAAATCTTTTTGACAATATTCAGAATATCTCTTAATATTTGCCTATTTGCTCTGATTTTTTATTATAGTTCAAAGGAAACGGTCTGATCATAAATCACATGATTAACCCAGAAAGGGTCATGAAGAAAATAAATAAATAAGAAGGACAAAATTATTATGCAGTTTGATGCCACCATGGGCAGATATTCTAGACGTGTAAAACTTCAGTCTGTTACCGGATGTAAAACCCGTCTCCTGGTGCGCCTTTGGCCCTCCTGAAGTGTTCGGGTCGGTTCTGGACTCTGAGGACGACGTTCTCCGCGGGTTTCAGGATCTCTAGGTACACCTCCTCAGCGGTCTTATTCTTCAGACTTACCGAGTTACACTGCAAACAGGAAATTTCTTCACAACAGGTTCACAGTATCAACACTGTTTTAAAATGAAAAGGTGGCCTCTTGTATGCCTACTAGTATGCTGGAAATGACATCACAACAGGAAACCTAGTGCTGGGCGGTTTGACCAAAAATCAGTGATACCATATATGATGGTATTATTTTTTTTCAAGCATTATTGGGTGTTAACGACATTTTCAACTGATTGAGAGAGGAAATACTGCAGTAGATTGACTTAGAATGGACTATTTTACAATCATGAGTAAATACAGTGGAACAATTGAGATGGTCCTCACTGCAGGACATGAAATCCAGGGGGAGGAGTTGGATCCAGATCCAACTCCTCCCACTTTACATATACCTAAACCTACCCACCTCACCCCCTGATCACTAACCCCACCCCTAATCCTACCCATCTCCACCCCCTGATCACTAACCCCACCCCTAACCCTACCCATCTCCGCCCCCTGACCCTAACCCCACCCCTAATCCTACCCATCTCCACCCCCTGATCACTAACCCCACCCCTAACCCTATCCCACCCCCGATCCCTAACCCCACCCCTAATCCTATCCATCCCCCCTGATCCTACCCCACCCATCTCCGCCCCCTGATCCCTAACCCCACCCCTAATCCCATCCATCTCCACCCCCGATCCCTAACCCCACCCCTAATCCTATCCATCTCCACCCTGATCCCTAACCCCACCCATCTCCGCCCCCTGATCCCTAACCCCACCCCTAATCCCATCCATCTCCGCCCCCTGAACCCTAACCCCACCCATCTCCACCCCCGATCCCTAACCCCACCCCTAATCCTATCCATCTCCACCCCCTGATCCCTAACCCCACCCATCTCCACCCCCTGATCCCTAACCCCACCCCTCTCCACCCCCGATCCCTAACCCCACCCCTAATCCTACCCAGCTCCACCCCTTATATATCTGGATCCAACTCCGCCCCCTGGATCTCGTGTACTGCAATGAAGTGCTACTGGAAAAATTCCACATTATTATTAATACAGGTTTGGACACAAAGAGGTGCCAGCAGGAGGCGGTGCTCATAAACACTGCTTTATCAGGCTAATTATCAAACGAAAATAACATTGAAACTTTTCTAAAGACAGACAGTTCCCTTCATTTAAACACACCCGTGCCACGTTTTGACTTTGAAATGTGCAGTGCTCATGTTTATTCAACGATGTCTTTTGGAAAATCTATTTGAGGCGGGCAGTGTTGATATTGTGAAACACTGTAATATAATTTGACAGTTTTCAATTATAGCTTAACCCCTCCATCTTAACCGTCACGCGCAGTAACACAGTGAAAAGACCCTCTCAAACTGTGTCCGAAACTGTGTTCATACACAGCTATTGCAGTATATTAAAAAATTGATATCATAACGAAAATATGAACCGGTATACCGCCTCAGATGTGTCTCTTCCGTACCTCCAGTATGAGGTCTCCAGGCTGCAGGCCGTCGACGTCCTCTTCGAGGCCCTCAACAAACACCCCCGTCAGGTTCCCTCCGCAGATCTTCAACCCCGGGTCCACCTGAGTCTTCCTCAGCACCACCTGCCTCGGCTCCGCATGTTTCCTGCCCTCACTCCAATCCCTGGCCAATCACAGAGCAGACGGCGCAGTTAAACCAATCAGAGCAGTGGACGTGTTCTCACACCATAGACTGTAAAAAAATGGACGACGCCCCTTCTTTTGGGTCTTTTGGGACCTTCTGTGCATTAGTGAGAGTGAGGCAGAGTTGAAGCTCCAATCTCCTCCCGAAAATCCCCCAAAAAAAGGTTTCGAGAAGCTGTCAATCATGACGTCACAGGCCCGTTTTTATAGCATCGAATAACTAAGGCCAAACTTAGTTACAAAAAAAACAGACACTTAAACTTACATCAGCGTGATAAAACTTTGAAAAACTGCATTTATATTTGCTACTCCAGTTTTACTCTTATTTTTTGCTTATTTTTGTTATATCTTCATTTAATCTTCTTGTTCTGTAAGGCTGTTGTAAATGTGCTATATAACTACAATTGACCAGCGATAGATAAATAATGTGTTTTTTACCTGCCGGCGCTATGAGGGCTGGATGTGGGCGTGGCCTGTTTGGAGGGCGGAGTTACGGTGCCCTCGTCCTGTTCGCTGAGCGTCTCGGGCGTCCCGGGCGTGGAGTGAGAGCTTATGGACGACTCCATCCGGGAGCTGGCAGCATTGGTTTACATATGTAAATATTATTAATCAATTCAATTTAATTCACATTTAGTCCACATTACAATTTAGAGTGATCTGTTCTGTTATCATAGGTTGTGTATTTCAGAAACGTACATATACACAATCACAATTAGCAAAAAATGTATTAATTTAAACAATGTAATAATAACAGGCAGAAACAATGAGCTCATTGAAGGAATGAATATTATGCCATGACTACTTTCAAAACTTAGGATTTGGCGATATGATCTAGGGCTGTCAAATGATTAATCGCGATTAATTGCATCCAAAATAAAAGTTTGTGTTTACATAAAATATATGGGTGCACTGTGAATAATTATTTTGTATATATATATATATATATATATATATATATATATATATATATATATATAAATACACACACATGCATGTATATTTAAGAAAAAATATTATTTATATATATCAAATATTTATATTTATATATAATATAAATTATATATAAATCTATATATAGTATATACATGAAAATATTTCTTAAATATATACAAGCATGTGTGTATTTATATATATAAAATAATTATACACAGTGCACCCACAATATATTATGTAAACACAAACTTTTATTTTGGATGCGATTAATCGTTTGACAGCCCTAATATGATCTAAATGTTTAACCCTGTAACACAGCCTAGGATCGTATTGTTCAGATTATAAGCCAACCCTAATTATAAGACGATGAGAAGGCTTTTAGGAGACCAAATCTTATGTTTTATAAAGGAAAATCTTTTATTTAGAAATAATATTTACATTTTTGGAGTGAAAGTATGGTAAACACTGGTAAAATGTACCAATGATCACATTTAAAAATGACATGCAATAATAACCTGTAGCCCGTTTGAATTAGGCCTATATAACAATTAGGCTATCCATCTAATAGTGAAAATCATGTAGCCTACCAAAATTTCATCAACAGCAGAAATTTGGTACTACCGACTTAACGTCTTAAAATCACGTACGGGGGAAGTCTGGTCCAGTAAGGCTTTTTGCGCTCGCGATCTACTAAAATTACACTCTGACACACTGCATTTCTTAGCACACTCGTTTTACGCTTATTTGGCGCCACCTATTGTTCCAGGTATATTATTGCAATGTAAAAGTCTACCAGGGTTCCTCAAACTCTGAGGATATAATAAACCTTATAAACTGAGGAAATATAAGAGAAGTGGGGTTTTTTTGTTGTTTTTTTGAGATGTATATCTAAAAAAACCCATCATCTTATAGTTGGAACAATATGGTATGTAGCAAATCAAATCGCTTGTGTCATCACAAAATGTAAACTATATTATCGCTAAGCTCTAATCTGCTAAATTCAACTATTAGGCATTAAGTTATTAATACGAGTACCAAGCTTTTTCTGTAAAGCTGCTTTGAAACCATATAATGGACAGTGCTATACAAAGAAATTTGAAGCACCAGAGTCACATCTATTGTGTGTGTGTGTGTGTGTGTGTACCTAGAGCGAGAGTGATTGCCCAGTTGGTACATGTGTGGGTTGTACTGTGCCAGTATGGTGATGATGTCACACTGCTGCCCAATGATGAGTCTCGCCTGCTGCTCCGTGGCGTTCCTGAGATTAATGCCGTTAAACTGAAGAGAGACGAAAGGAGAGATTCACATGTTTTCCATTTAAAAGGAAGTCCGTTATTTCGATGCGTTTTCTAACCCACCTCGAGCAGCTGATCTCCAAACTCCAGGTGGTGCTGTTGAGCAATGCTGCCCCCCGTTACCTTGGAAACAAAAATCCCACCATTCTCCCCGCCCACGATGGAGATGCCCAGAGGCTCCGCCCCTTTGGGGATAGTGACACATCGTGGCTCTTCTATGTACGGCCTGAAACACCCAAACGCACACAATATGGGCTTCATCAACCCACAAAACCCAAAATATAACAATATAACAAAATAAAAAAAATAAAAAACTTCAAAAGTTCTTAATCTGTGACATTCTGGCAAACAGAAAATAATTTTGACTGGCCGCTTAGTGTATAAAAAGCTAGACATGATTTCAAAGCGATTAAAACGTCTGCCACATGTAAGTGTAAATGCAATATTAAACTTATAAAGCTCTATAGCGTATGCTATACATTATATTGAAAAATGGTTAATATAAAAACATTACATTCAACACAAAAAACAACTGCTTGCCACAGTTTTAAGGGTAAAATCACACAATAATCCATTTACGGTTACTGCTCATAAAATATAATTACATGCATTAGATGTAGCATTTTAGCTCAATCTGCGCATCTTCAGTAGGGATGGGCAACGATTAATCGCATCCAAAATAAAAGTTTGTGTTTACATAATATATGTGTGTATAATTAATTTGTATATATAAATACCCACACATGTATGTGTATATTTCAAGAGTTCAGATGCAAAAGCCTCTAAATGCCATTTGAAATTTTCTTCTTTAATGATGATTTTTATCAAGCTTGTATATTTAAGTTCAGTAATTTCACTTAAATGGCAATGATAATTACCTATTAATAGTTATTTAAGTGAAATTACTGAACTTAAATATACAAGTTTGATAAAAATCATCATTAAAGAAGAAAATTTCAAATGGCATTTAGAGGCTTTTGCATCTGAACTCTTCATTTAAGAAAAATGTGCTATTAATATATCAAGTATTTATATTTTATATAATATTAATTAAAAAGTATATACATGCATGTGTGTCTATTTATATATACAAAATAATTATACGCACTACACACACATATATTATGCAAACATAAACTTTTATTTTGGATGCGATTAATCACGATTAATCGTTGCCCATTCCTAATTTCCAGGTACATTTTGTACATAAAAACGTACTGTAAATGAACTCGCATGTTTTCTGTGCACAGCCTGCAGATGTGATTAATAATACTATAGTAATAGTCCATAATTAGTTGTATTGTTTTCGACTGAGCGCTCTTAAATAGCATGTATTTAAAGAGACATGGCATAGAAAGAAAAGCAAATCACATCAGATTAATTCACTTAAACAGCAAAAACTGAGCCTAAACATAGTTTGTTTGCTCGTTTCAGCGTAGCGGACAAACCTCAGGATCCGTAAGGACGCAAACCACGATCTCTGAGCTCGAGAAAGCTTCAGGTTAGACCTGTTACATAACGCACATCTGGAGCAGGAAGGAGAGAAATGGGGCAGAAGAACAGACTAGCAGAATAGAGATAAACAGACTCTGAGAGGAAGACAGGCTGAAGAGGAGGAGGACGGCCCTGAATGCCTGTGACACGTCGTCAGATGAGCACAGAAGCGCCACATTTACTCACACTCGCTTCAGTGAAACACAAAAGAGCTTCTGTGAATGAGTGTGGAGTGAATGATATACTGTATGTTAGAAACAGTTGTTAATCACATGACTTCAGTAGACTTGTAATTGTCATATGGACTATTGTTATGATGCTTTTATGTCCTTTTTGTATTTATTTACTATGAATCGTTGTATTGAGAGAAAAAAAATGGTGAGATTTTAATGAGTGTGAGTAAATTATGATTTCTAATTGTACCTGTCCCTTCTCCTATCTATTGGCACAGGGCTGACTGACAGCCTGGTGTGGGCGGAGATGGAGCCCTGTGATTGGCTGCTGGTGAAGGAGGCGGCGTCCAGAGGAGAAAGGGGCGGAGTCACGAGACTTGGGCTGCTGCAGTCAGAGTGAGATAGTGATCCTGAAACACAACAACTTCTCAAAGTCATTCATGTTTTGATTTGTACATTCATCATCGACGAACAGCACAGGTGGTGTGTTGACTACGTGTACTGTTAGAAATCTGATTTTTTACCTCTATCAGAGCCATGAACGGATCGAGCGTAGCGAGGGGTGGAGGGAATCTTAATGCGCTGCTCGCGGTACTGAGACAAACCTATAGACAAACACAAACACAATCAGGATCCACAATTACATCATGAGCGCAGACTTGAGATAAACAAGCACGGACTGCATAATTTAGACTGTGATTGTCAATCTCAGATGTTTGAGTATGATTAGAAATTATCAACATGTGTGCAAACTTATAATGGTGCAAAATAAGTACTATTTTTAAAAATATATATTTTGTTAAATTATACAAACTAAACCAATAAAGAAATCATTTTGTAGAGCAATACTATTGTACTAATTTACAAATACTAATTTAAAAAAAGTAATTATTATTATATTGTTTATTTATTATTATTTTTTTATTTGGTATTTATTATTTATATTATTAATAATAATAATAATAAGTTGTTATTTTAATTTTATTAAATGAAACAAATTAAACCATTAAGAAATATATTACGACATTAATACTATTGTGCTGTAAAATATATATAGAGGATTAATAAATAATAATAATAATAATAATGTCGTTATTTGCTAAAATAAAACGCATTATTTTATTACATTACAGAAATTAAGCCACTAGATAAATATATTCATATAGTAATAATACTACTGTACTGTAAAATAAATAGAGGATTTAATAATAATAATAATAATAATAATAATATTGTTAATTTCTAAAGTAAACCATATTATTTTATTACATTACAGAAATTAAGCCACTAAACAAATATATTCATATAGTAATAATACTACTGTGCTGTAAAATAAATAGAGGATTTTTTAATAATAATAATAATAATAATAATAATAATGTCGTTATTTGCTAAAATAAACCGCATTATTTTATTACATTACAGAAATTAAGCCACTAAACAAATATATTCATATAGTAATAATACTACTGTACTGTAAAATAAATAGAGGATTTAATAATAATAATAATGTCATTATTTGCTAAAATAAACCACATTATTTTATTACATTACAGAAATTAAGCCACTAAAAAAATATATTCATATAGTAATAATACTACTGTACTGTAAAATAAATAGAGGATTTAATAATAATAATAATTTCATTATTTGCTAAAATAAACCACATTATTTTATTACATTACAGAAATTAAGCCACTAAAAAAATATATTCATATAGTAATAATACTACTGTACTGTAAAATAAATAGAGGATTTAATAATAATAATAATGTCGTTATTTGCTAAAATAAACCGCATTATTTTATTACATTACAGAAATTAAGCCACTAAATAAATATATTCATATAGTAATAATACTACTGTACTGTAAAATAAATAGAGGATTTAATAATAATAATAATTTCATTATTTGCTAAAATAAACCACATTATTTTATTACATTACAGAAATTAAGCCACTAAAAAAATATATTCATATAGTAATAATACTACTCTACTGTAAAATAAATAGAGGATTTAATAATAATAATAATAATAATATTGTCGTTATTTGCTCAAATAAACCGCATTATTTTATTACATTACAGAAATTAAGCCACTAAACAAATATATTCATATAGTAATAATACTACTCTACTGTAAAATAAATAAAGGATTTAATAATAATAATAATTTCATTATTTGCTCAAATAAACCACATTATTTCATTACATTACAGAAATTAAGCCACTAAAAAAATATATTCATATAGTAATAATACTACTCTACTGTAAAATAAATAGAGGATTTAATAATAATAATAATAATAATAATGTCGTTATTTGCTCAAATAAACCGCATTATTTTATTGCATTACAGAAATTAAGCCACTAAACAAATATATTCATATAGTAATAATACTACTGTACTGTAAAATAAATATAGAGGATTTAATAACAATACTAATATTGTTAATTTCTAAAATAAACCGTATTATTTTATTACATTACAGAAATTAAGCCACTAAACAAATATATTCATATAGTAATAATACAACTCTACTGTAAAATAAATAGAGGATTTAATAACAATACTAATATTGTTAATTTCTAAAGTAAACCGTATTATTTTATTACATTACAGAAATTAAGCCACTAAATAAATATATTCATATAAAAATAATACTACTGTACAGTAAAATAAAAATAGAATGTTTAATACAAATAATAATGCTTATAATAATCATTTTACTTTATTAAACAACATTTATAGCCGTTTTCATTTTTTTGTTTTCAAATGTTAAGCTTTACCTTTGGCTGAAAAATGCAAGGAGACGTTAAAGCTTCTCTATTGTGGACAAGTGGCAGTAACTGCAGTCCACGTGTTATTCTCACTACAGATCATGACAAAAGCTGCGGTTACACGAGAGGAGGTTGGTGTTACAGACCCAGTCTGGCGCTGGAGGGCAGGGAGTTGGTGTTGTGCTGTCCCGAGCCGCGCGAGCCGTCGTAGAGTTCACCGGAGCACTTGTGGTTGAGATCCACACTCCATCGGCCCTGGTGCTGCGGACTGAGGTCGAGAACACAGAGAGATCAGAACAGACCACATAAATGTGTGTGTGTGTGTGTGTGTGTGTGTGCGTACCTGACTTGAGTGTATGTGTGAGCAGGAACTGAAGAGGGGTTAGTGGTTTTGACACAGTGACTCCAGGCCTTGTACACTGGGTTCCTCATGACTGCGGTGACGGCCGGGTAGGGAGACAGTGTTCTGGGAGTGGTGTCTAGAACACACAAACACAAACAAATCACTCAGCGCCAACATCTTTTCATTTAAGACTCAACTATGGCTTTAAATGAGCATGGTTTCGGTGTCAAACTCACGTGCTTGCGCGGGTGAGAAGCCTGAACTGTGCCGATTTGAGCGGAAAGGAGAGAACCGAACCAGATCCACAGGCTCAGGAGAGTGGTCCTCGTGCGAGAAGCTCTGCCGGGGAGAGAAGTGAAGATAAACCATGTGTTGATTAGTTGGAACGGTTTACACAAGGTTATTTAAAAAAAAAAAAAAAAAAAAAAAGTTTGCCTGCGTGTTTATTGTTGAGTATCATATTTAGAGCCCGACCGATAAAGGATTTTGAAGGCCGATACCGATACAAATATTTTTGGGTTTTAAAATCCGATATATCGGCCGATGGTTTTTTTTATTAAATATTGTTGGATTTCACACACGTGTAAAAGAAAAGCTAACTTTTCTGCACAAGATACGTTTGATACTTTTTCTCCATGTCTAAATGTTCACTCCTCGCGAGTACAACTTACATTTTACAATGCAGGGACTGTAACTAGAGATATGCGAGTTATAAATACAGTAATCATTACTTAATTTAGGCAGAAAACGTTCAGTGTGGTTTCCAAGCTCATTAATGTTAACGTTAGCGGTCTTCCACTGATGATAGTGGCATTAGCTAGCTTTAGTCTATGATGAGCCATAATTTAGCAATGGATAACGTCGTACTGCAAATTGTAAAACATACATTTTCAATATAACAGGCCGAGGAGAGATGATTAAAGCGTGTTTCGTCCGTTTTTATTTTTTTTTAAATATTCATTTATCGGCCATTATAACTGCCGATACCGATATTATGAAAAATGCCTAATATCGGCCGGTCGATATATCGGTCTGGCTCTAATCATATTTGATATATCAGGTTTTAATGGCTCACAGTCTGATATAGTGAGAATAAGAAGGGGAAAAATGCTCATTTTAATTTAGAAGCCAAAAATAAGCAATTTCCTGCAGATGCTGATATGTATATGGTCAAAACAAGGTAAGATGAAAAGCATATAAAGTCAAGTCAAATATATTTATATTGTTTTATTTATTGTTTTTTAAATATATTTATATTGTTTTTTATTGTTTTATTGTATGGTTATGTAGGGCTTTTATGTATTTATTTATTTATTGTGTCCATTTTTGGGGGGGATTTGAAGTGCTCTATAAATAAATCTTGCTTGCTATATAGCGCTTTTCACAATACAGATTGTATCAAAGCTGCTTCACAGTATCAATCAAGACAACATAACATTGTTTGTTTGGTTTATTCATGAAAAAAGATAATCTAGAGCTGATCAATGGTATGATGGGTCATTTAATTTGAATATCCCCAAGCCAAAGGCAACAGTGGCAAGGAACCGAAATCTTAAATCTTCCAATAATATAGTAAGATGACGTTTAAAAGCCTACTTTTATCAAAGCTCTGTGGTTTTAAAACCTATAATGCAATGCAATACAATGATGATTGAGAGATGAACTAATAAACCTTCCTCAAAAGCCTGATGATCGTATTTGACACTAAAGATTTTCTATAATCAAGTAATCTTCAAGTGCTTTATTACTAAAAACATAAACGTTTGTACAATCATACTAGGAGGACATTTACTTGATGAAAAACTCGAGATTGCAAGTAGATCGTGTGTAGTTTGTGCATACTGAATAAGAGCAGTGTTTCTAAGGCACCGCACCTGTGGGAAGGGCATCTTCAGGGGCGTGAGGCTCCGGCGCTGAGCGGGTGCAGAGTTCGGTCTTCCTCTCCTCATCTCCGCTTCATCCGCGCCCTGTCCAGACGCTTCCCCCGACCCCTGTCTCTGAACCACATTCCCGTTGCGGTCTCGATTATCAAAGTCATGCGTGGTTTGGTCTGTGGGCGTGGTCTGAATGGGCGTGGCCGGGGGTGAGCCGGTGGTTATGGTGGAATCGGAGGCGGAGCTTCCCTGCGGTTTGTGTTTGAACTTGAAGGAGTCGCTGCGCTTGGGCGGCTCGGGCGGCATCTGTGGCGACCCCTCGGCCCACGAGCTCTGCGGGGAATGTTTCTGGGACAGACTGAGGTAGTCCAGCTTGGACGGCGTCGTCTCCGGCCGCTTGAACATGTCTGCGTCAAATATCGACTTCCGCTTCTTTGGGGTCTTAAAAATAGAGAGCGGCGGGATGCTGTCCGCAGTCGTCATAGCAACCGCGACCATTTTCGGCCACGTGCCGCCGCTTTGTTTCCGCCTCTCCTCTGCGGTGATGCAGTCGCCGGGGGAAACGGGGTGAAAGGTGAGGGGTCGTTTGGAGTTGTGATGCAGGCAGATCTCGTGATACGGGTCTGAGCGATACAGAGAGGCACGCTGAGCGCGCTCGCTCTCGACGTCACGTGTCGGGCTGTACGGGTCTTTATGGGCGGAGTGGTTGCTGGTGGGCTGCTTTCTGCAGGGCCGCAGGTGATCGGCCGACTTCCCGTTTGAGTTCCTTTCGCAGTCACGCTGGCTCTCGGCGATACTCTGACCCGACAGACTCTGTGGGAAAAACTGGGATATATAAACGATATGATATTATTGCAATACTCCAAAACATGTACTGTTGATTAAAATGCTAAATTATATTACATTGTGCGTGTACATGAATAGGCTTGGACTTGGTGCTGAAACCCAAAGCACAGGACAATAGAGACACCAGAATAACAATATTTCACTCTGTCACTGACTAGATGTATTTAAAATAATGTAGGTCACTCTGTACTGGTAACATAAAACATCTGGCATTATCAGAACTAGAGCCAGGCCGATATTAGGCATTTTCCAAACTATCTGTATCGGCAGTTATAATGGCCGATAAATGAATATTTCAAAAATAAAATAAAAACGGACGAAACACGCTTGAACCATGTCATGAGTGTTGGAGTTGTATAGTTTGTCCACCAGAGGGCGCTCTGCACCGTTCCTGTTGTGTATAACGCGCCACACATCCTGATGATCCAGATTGCAGGAAGCTTATAAGGCAATCTATGGACTAATTAGTATTTTATTTATCAGAACTTTAATATATTTTGATGTTCCTCTGTTCTGTTGTGACAATAAAAGAAACAAGTTTCTTTTTAATATGCATTATCATATTATTTTAGTTAAAACTCATAAATAACTACAAATAACTAATGTTAGGGAAATCTGTTAATGTTTTGTTGAGCGTTTCTGGACAAAAAAAATATCGGATTTTAAAACCAACAAATATTTGTATCGGTATCGGCCTTCAAAATCCTTTATCGGTCGGGCTCCAATCAGATATTCCCCCATTGCATTATTAAACATTATATATAGCAGTTTAATGTAGTTCACTAACAGTAATTTTCATTTTGGGTGAACTGTACGCATTATATATTGTCATTATCCACGATACATATTGTTGCGTTGTTGTATTGCGATATATCGTGAGACCCCTATTAAAACCTTAAGGAAAGGAGTAAGCTGATCGAACTTCTCACTTACAAAAGGAAATAAATAATGATCAATAATGTCTCACCTTCAGGAGGGAAAGAGACAGCGAATCTCTGCAGCTCCGCAGGAGAGTCTCACATTCACTCACTGATTTATTATCCAGTGAAATTCCGTTTATCTGCCAGAGAAGATGAAACAACCTTAACACAATCACAACAGATATGCTCAATAGTGCGCTACATGCCTGCGTTTACTCTAATGAGCCAGTATACAGTGGTATGAATAAGTTTTGGCCCCCATGCTAAAGTTGCCTAAAAAGAGGAATAAAAAAATCATCTTTTGGATATTGATCTTAATGCCTTAATTTGAAAAACCTTTAAGGACACATTTTCTTTGTGAATGAATAATGTATCATAAATAAATAAATGTTTTTCCTTAAAATACAGGGTGCATAAGTCAGGGCACCCCTGTGTTAAATTCCCATAGAGTCAGGCAGATTTTTATTTTTAAAAGCCAGTTATTTCATGGATCCAGGATAATATGCATCCTGATAAAGTTCCCTTGGGCTTTGGGATTAAAATATCCCCACATCATCACACACCTTCCAGCACACCTAGAGATTGGCATGGTTTTACTTCAGTTAGCCTAACAGCTGGTTTGATTTGCATTGAAAGATGATCTTATGGAAAGTACCCCATGCCAATCTCTAGGTGTGGTGGAAGGTGTGTGATGATGATGTGGGGATATTTTAATCCCAAAGGCCAAGGGAACTTTATCAGGATGCATATTATCCTGGATCCATGAAATAACTGGCTTTTAAAAATAAAAATCTGCCTGACTCTATGGGAATTTAACATAGGGGGGCAATGACTTATGCACCCTGTATATTAAGGAAAAACATTTATTTATTTATTTATGATACATTATTCATTCACAAAGAAAATGTGTCCTTAAAGGTTGGAGTTTTCCTCATTTTTCTAATTAAGGCATTAAGATCAATATCCAAAAGATGATTTTTTATTCCTCTTTTTAGGAAACTTTAGCATGGGTGCCAAAACTTATTCATACAACTGTACATGCAAATTTCAATATAAATTCATTTAAGCACTATAGTTTACAGAAAAAACGATTTTTCTCAAGTCGACTGAGGCTGAAGTGAAAAACTAGTGACGTGGAACCCGTGGACTCACATTGAGAACCCGATCGCCCGGACACACCGAACCGTCCCTGGCTGCAGGACTGCCTGGAGAAACAGACGATACGAACATGCCGCTCTCCAACCCAACACCACAATCTGCAAGACAGAGACAGAGTCGATGAGATGAGATGATGAAGGCGGTTTATCTGCTTGACCAGCTGATGACCCATGATATGACCTTTATGCCCTGCCAGTGTAAGATGAACAGAGGTGACCATCCTTCCTCCAAGAGACTTCCTCCTGCGGACCACCATGTTGATGAGCCCGCCTCCACTGAACACCACCTTTATGACCTGCTTCCGGTCCTTATTGGCCAGATCCACATCATTTATCTTCAACAACCAGTCGTTCACTCTGCGGCGTGAATAAACCACAGTTAGAAACGAACACCAACGTTTCACAGAAGAACGGCGAGTTCACGCACCTTAACCTGCCCTCCGCAATACTTCCTTTGTCCACCTTGCTCACGAATATCCCATAATCCCCGGGTAGATACGAGTCGCTCACCCCCTCGGCAATATCAAAACCAAAAGCACTCAAATCCATGTCCTCCTGTACGACAGATGGAGATGTGTTGAAGGATTTATATTTCAGCTTTACGTCAATTAACCCTCTGGGGTTGTTCGGCCCAAATGGACCCGAAGAATTTAAATACATTTTTTTTTTTAAATCACAGCTTCATCGGAATGGTCTGAAATTTGGTGACTTTGTTGGTATTTGGTATTTGAACACCCCAAAAAATTGGGGACAGGCTGTGAATAGTCTAAAAAAAAATAGTCACACTTGGGGTGTTCGGGTCCAAATGGACCCGCATGGAAAATTATGGGAAATTGGCAAAAATGTTTTTTGTGCGTACAATCTACAAATCAGCAACAATCTTGAAAAAAAGCACACAACAGTGAAGGGGTGAATCTATAAAACATCAAGAGTGCAAAACAGACACACACTCACACTTTTATACACAAACCCACCAAAAAATTCTGATTTTGCATTTTTAAAATGCTCAGTTTGTCCACCAGATGGCATCCATCTCATTTCAAAAATTGCTTTTATGAGGCCTAGGCTTGACTCTAAAATGAAATACAGCTTTAAAAAAAATTTTTTTTTTTAAATTTTTTTAAAATATTTTTTCTATTATGTTCAATGGGGGGCATTTTGTTATAATTATTGCATTAATACTAATTATAATTTTTTTTTATTTTTGAAATTCTCAAAACACCAAAAAAGAAAAAAAAATATTATAAAAAACCCGATTTTTATATTATAAAAATGTAAATATAAAAATTTGAATTAAATTTAAATACAAAAAATGTAAATATAAAAATATTATAAAAAAATATTATGAATCCCGCCCTTTGGGTCCATTTGGACCCGAAACACCCCGAGTGTGACTCTGAAACGAACAACCCCAGAGGGTTAACAAAGACGTTTTTACTATTTTTGGAGGTTTGTCACAGCTTTGAGGGCTCGTTTACATACCGCACTCCTCTCAAACTCCACCGTCTCCGTTTCCCACTCCAGCGAGTCCGTATCGATAGCAGAGTCGTGAGAATTGTGGGCCATCAGTTGGCGAAAACGTGCCTCCTTCTCCAGCTGCTCCTCCATGCATTCCCTGAAACACATTTTAGGATAAAGTTCACCTAATCACGTCATCATGTACACCAACCTGATAACAGAGGGTCTGAGAGAATAGTTCATTCTATTCAGAAGAATAAGAGTCATTTGTTTGGGACTCAAACTACTTTGGTCGCATTTCTTTTGCTGTAGATTCAGTAGCGCGGCAGGAAGCCACAAAAACTGTAGATTCCCTGTGGTAGTGTGTGTTGGTGAGACTCACTTGAGCTCCTTCAGTTCTCGCACCGCGTCGTTCTTTTGTTTCCGCAGGTCGTCGAGGTTTCTCAGAGCGTCGGCGAGATCGCTAACAGCTCGGTCCCTCTCGCGTCGCAGGTTATCGCACAACGTCCTGACATACACAGACAAACAGCAATAATAATATATCGTTTTATAGGACCTCTATGCTTTAGCCAATGTTTTATGGAGATAAAATTGTCTCAAATATAACATTTTTTAAATAATTCACATTCACAAAATAAGATTTGCAAACGCACAACCAAATTTACAGATTCACAAATGCAATGATAATTTATTAATACAATCTTGACTGTTTAAACTGTATTTGCAAATCGTGTGTGTGTGTGTGTGTGTCGCTATAGATTTGTGTCTATTTTAAGACTTAGTTCACAATACACAATACACCTTGCTCAATGCTTGGACTCTGACAAACACATTAAAATAAATGATTCAGATTCAGATTATTTTATTTCATGCCATGTCAGCAGTCAGAGCTATTTTCATGGCAAAAATTCATTTACAAAAATACAAACATCATATAAATACAACAAAAACAAAACAAATATAAACAAGAAGTCATAGTATACAATATATTTTTTTAAATGAACATATGATAAAAAAAAACCTTTTCAGGCATAATCTCATTAAATATGTCCTTCAAAGAAGTAACTTCATAAAAGAGCCTCCTGCTTGTGTTAAGTCCAGGACAATCTAATAAAAAATGTTTGACAGATAAAGGAATTTTACAAAACATACATAAAGTTGGGTCTTCACCTTTAAGCAAAAAAGCATGGGTCAAACTTGTATGACCCATACGGCATCTGGTGTAGACAAAATAAATGATTTTGACACCATTTTAGCTCCACACCATTACATCTGTTTATAATTTCCTTGTTGGATTTGAAAAATATGTAATTGGATGGGTTTTAACAATTATAAGGCCATATATGACGTGATACTTGAACTGGATCACTTTTATGACAGATTTAAAGGATTTTTGGTTGCGTCTGCTTACCGTATGCTCTCTCTCTCTGCTACGATCTTGTCTCTCTCCTGAAAGGCCCAATCTCTCCTGCATTTCGCCACCTCCGCCTCCTGCACGGCCTCCTGGAGCTCCTCGGAAACGGCCTCGCACTGTTTCCTCAGCACCTCCAGCTCCTTACTGACGCGCTCAATGTCCAGCGTTGCACTGTCCTGCTTCTGCAGAGAGAGAACCAGGAAGTAAAAATCAGCTGTGGCGGGTAGCGCTGTTAAATCACTAGCCAATTTTACGCGTTACTTATTATGTTTATTCTCTTTGCTGCGGAAGACAGATTTAGCACAAATACTCAACTCATGAGACATGATTTTAAATTTTTTAAACGATTAGTCGACTAAAAAAAACTGTTTAATTTTTTAAACGATTAGTCGACTAAAAAAAACCGGTTTAAATTTTTAAAACGATTAGTCGACTAAAAAAAAACTGTTTAAATTTTTTAAACGATTAGTCGGCTAAAAAAAAACTGTTCAAATTTTTTAAACGATTAGTCGACTAAAAAAACGGTTTAAATTTTTAAAACGATTAGTCAACTAAAAAAAAAACGGTTTAAATTTTTAAACAATGAATTAACTACCAACCGGTATATCCCTTACTGAGCGCGTGTGTAAGATAAACTGTGGCGCAATTACAAAAAATAGCCTATATTACAGCATTTTACAGCTCGCTCGTTTGCACTGAAGCAATAGCGAAGATTAAAAAGCATTTAGTTAACAGAAAACTAAGGCTGTAGTCAACCAAAGAAATCCTTAGTCGACCAAGGTCTTGTCCTCCGCAACGATTAGTCGGGGGGGAAAAAAACGGTTGAAATTTTTAAAACGATTAGTCGACTAAAAAAAAACTGTTTACATTTTTTAAACGATTAGTCGACTAAAAAAAAGGTTTAAATTTTTTAAAACGATTAGTCGACTAAAAAAAACTGTTTAAATTTTTTAAACGATTAGTCGACTAAAAAAAACTGTTTAAATTTTTTAAACGATTAGTCGACTAAAAAAAAACTGTTTAAATTTTTTAAACGATTAGTCGACTAAAAAAAACGGTTTAAATTTTTAAAACGATTAGTCAACTAAAAAAAAAACGGTTTAAATTTTTAAACAATGAATTAACTACCAACCGGTATATCCCTTACTGAGCGCGTGTGTAAGCTAAACTGTGGCGCAATTACAAAAAATAGCCTATATTACAGCATTTAAAGAGTAACTAAACACTAAACCAACTTTTTTTAGTTAATGATCTGTAAGAATGGATCTTTATTAATACCAGGCATTGATTCGAGTAACTTTTTTTTGACATTTGTTTATAAAGTGTTCTATTTCTACAATACATGGTGTAAAAACGTCTTAGTGCTGCCCTCTTCAGGTTGAACGGTAGCTACTGCAGTTGAATTTTCCTATTGACGTACGCAGGTTTCAGCTCACCACGCGTATAAAAACCATCTTGTGTCGTCAAAATCACCGTAGGGAGTCAGGAATTGGAATTGTGAGTATTGAAAATGACCAGGATAGAGTGTTTTAGCATCTATTTCGTCCCCTCTATCTCCGCTGGGGTCTGCCCACTTTTTCAGCATTTTCAAATATTGCCAGTGGGTGGAGTCAGGCTCTGACCAGGGGTTTAGTTAACCCTTTAAAGTTGGGGATAAAACAAAGGCTAATTATATATATAGAATATAGTAATAAATAACTGCTTTATAAAGGAATTAATATCAAGGAGTAAATCATTGAAAATGTATTTCTGTTGGTAAAAAAAAAAAAAAAAAAAAATGCGACTGGTCGACCAATTAGAATGTCAGTCGACCAAGACGGCATCGAGTGATTAGTCGACTAAACGACTAAAATTGACAGCCCTACAGAAAACATTGTTATTTCCAAACATCCTATATTTATTTGCTATTCTTTGTACTGTATTGATGTGTCCACCTAAAATACATTGTTGGTGAAAAGGATGAAAGAGGAAGGGAGGAGATGTTTGATGACAGGATTTAGTGTGAATTAGGAATTAATGTAGTAGAAGCAGAGCCCGTCTAACGGAGAGCCTTGGCACTTCCTATTAGCCCCGTTGTGGATCATCTTGGTTGCAGTTCCATTAGAATTCCACTGGAGGTGATCATGAGCGAGCGCAGAATGAATGGGAGTCTATGGGGCTAAACGGCTAAATGTGTCTCTTTCACCTGCTTGTCGTTAAATCAACATAGATTTTATTGTTGATTCCGCGAGTTCAATATAGATTATAGGCCAAAAGTTGAAAGAACAAGTACTTATGTCCTTTTGATTTCTTACAGGTTAGGCCGTTGTTGGCCGGAAAAAAAGTGGATTTCTGGGGGTGAAACCCCATTGACTCCCATTCATTCTGCACTCGACCGCGAGCGCCCCCGCATGGACAGAGACGCGTTACTGCAGCCAGTCCAGAACCCGGAAGTAACCAGCCAGTGCCAATTCTCTTCAATTAGACGTTCTCTGGTAGAAGTTCTAAATGGCCGGTAACTTAATTTTGTAGGTGAGTGAAAAACCCTGGAGAGAACCTCAATGAAACGATATAACTCTAGTGGTCTGAACACTGGACATGTACCTGTCTGGCCTGGTAATACTCTCTCAGGAGCTGGTCTCTTTGGATAATGGCCTCGGTTCGCTCTTTGCGGGCCACGTCGCGCTCCTCTCGCACCATCTCGATGTCTTTACAGGCCTGGCTCAGCTCCTTCTGCGTCTCCACCTTGTCCTGCACCTCGTGACAGTACTTCTCCAGCAGCTCCGTCTTTTCCCGGATCGCCCGGTCCCGGTCCAGCAGTGCGGAGTTCAGTTCCTGCACACACACAACACATTTCAAACCATCAATAAAGGCAACGTTGAGTCTTTAGAGGTTCTTTAGGGTTCATTTTATTTCATGTTTGGTTATTACCTCATCTCGCTCATTACACCAGATTACACAAGTTTGTGAACACATTTTATATTGACTTTAAATGCGTGTTTGACAATAACAAGGAAATGGCTAGGTGAAGAATGCCCGACAATTGCTGAATGGATAGAAATAGTGCAGGAAATTTATGTTATGGAACATTTGACTTTCTCTCTGAGACATGCCAGGAGTAAATGTGAGGCATATTGGGAAAAATGGATATCTTATCCGAGTACAAACTGAGATGTATATGTCTTGTTTTTTTGTTTTTTCTCCTTGCTTTACTTGATGTTGAGCATTTCTGTTAACCTATGACATATTTGCCTGCTATTCCTTGGTCTGCCTGTTGTTGTTATTGTTGCTGTTTCTTTTTTTTTTGTCAAAAAAATAAATAAATACATTTTTTTTAAAAATGTGTGTTTGACCTGTCTAAGAGCCTCAATCTCGTCGCTGGCCACCCTCCTCTCGCCAGACGTGTTCTTGAGTTTGGCCTCGGCCGCCTCCAGTCCGGTCTGCAGCTTGTCCACCTCCTTGATGACCTGATCTCTCTCGCTCATGATCAGTCTGTACTCGTTTAACACGGAGTCTCTCTCCTCCTTCAGCTTCTCGCCGTCTTTCACCGCCTTCAGCTGCAGCGTCTTATAGCGCGTGTTCTCCATCTGAAGACGCTCAGTTTCCCTCTGCAGCTCCTCGTTCTGAGCGGACATCTTATTCAGCTCCTGCTGGAGACTCTCAAACCTGAAAGAGATCAATATTTCTCCATGAACAATCTTTCTTGAGTGTGTAATGTTTGAAAAATGTTGAAAAAGTCAGTTCGCCTCTATATCAGTGTCAGTGTTTCTGAAACGCCTCCATTGTAGTCTCGAGTTTCTTCCGGAACACGTCACAATATTCCTCATTATAATAATTCATGCGCAGAATAAAGGGGTGGGGCCTGGGTGAGTTAGTTGTAGTGTGTTAAACTGGCTGTTATGGGAAGGGGCGGGACATTTCCCAAACACACTCAAAAGCGCTCGACCAATCACAACACACTGCTCCAGCCGACCAATCAGAGCACAGTGTGCTTTTTAGAAGGAGGGGCTTCATAGAGACAGGAAGTAAACAGAGCGTTACTGACAGACTGGGAAAAGAGGAGCAGTCAAATATGGTAAAAATTTCACAATTCGATTCGATTTCGATTCACAAGCTTGCAATTCGATTCGATTCAATATTGATTATTTTGGATATCAGTTCCAATAAATGGCAAATGTTCTCAAGGGAATCAAATCTCTAACTAATGCTGTAAACTATGGGAGTCTAGTTGTAGCCTATAGACTTCATTAGCCTAATATGAAGGTAATAATGAACTGTTTTGTAGCTATACAAACACTTAAATTACACTTTTATTTATTTTTATAATAGGAAGATTATATGAAATATAAACATTTAAATGGTGGCTGTCATAAAAACTTGCCAGATTTATTCAAATCTGCATTAAATATTGAAGAACATTAAGATTATAATGCATATGTAATATGGTGTATATATTTAGCAAAATGCTCCTCTCTAGAGTTATTTTTTCTAGCTGACTAACGAGTTGATGTGGGTTTTCTGAGGTAAATATGACGATGACATTGATTACAAGCTGTTTAACTGTTTAACTAACTGCTGATTGAGTGAATCAATGTGACATGATCCGGATTTGGATAAGTTGTCCTCTATCTTTAACACACTTTCAGATGCTCATTCATGTTTATTTGGCGCTGTGACTGGTATTATTAAGCCGGAAGAGAGATCAGCGCTGCTGCTTCTCCAGAGCGATCTCACGCCACAGCGACAAAACACTATTTATGTTTTTGAATTTCTAAAGAAAATGGACGTAATTTGAAAATTGAGACTTTGTTTCATATCAATAGTAACAAAGGACAAAGATTATTGCGATTTTTTGGATGTGCGCAGCCGCGAGACAATGGATGACTAATTGATTCTTGAGATTTAAGAATCGATATCGGTTCGTAAAAATGAGAATCGATTAATATCGAGAAATCAATATTTATTACCCAGCCCTAGTAAAAATTAATTTATTGAACATTTAAACATGAAAACCTATTCTAGTAGAGCCCAAAAACAACATCAAGACTATGAAGAGCATAATAGGTCCCTTTTAAAACCTAGCAACTCTAGCGTGTACCTCCTGACGGATCCGCCGTACTGCTGCTGGAAGTGAAGCGCAGAGTCTCTCTGCTTCAACAGAACGTCCAGCTGTTTCTGGAGACGTCTGTTCTCCTCCTCCATCGCCTCCAGGCGGCTCAGATCAGCGTTGTGACTCGCCGTTTTCTCGTTGAATCGTTTCCTCAGTGCATCGTACTCTTTCTTCGTCCCCTCCAGCTTGTTTAAGGCCGTGTCGTAAAGTTTATTCAGCAGGTCTGAGGAGCCGTTCTCCCTCATGACCTGCAAGAGAAGAAAGAGAAACCACATTCAGCTCAGAAATTTAACCCATAACCAAATCATTCACTCGACTCAATTTTGAAGATTAGCTACAATATATATACGAGGATTAGTCAGAGATGACAAAACGCATCATTACACCAGCAGGTGGCGCCACAGAATCACATTATTCCAAATAGAGTAGCAATTATCTAATATATCAGATGAATGTGATGTTTATTCTAGTTAAAGAACATGTTAATCAGATAAGTAGCAGGTTATGTGGTGATAATTTAAAATAATGTGTCAGACTAATTTTGTTATTCTTTATAGTCTTGCATCTTTGCAACATCACAACAGAATTTGTTTTAGCAGCATCTCTAAGCAGCGGAAGTTCAATTCACATGTGTGAATTAGCTGATTAGTTAAATCAATGTAAAACAAATCAATTAAGGAGATATGACTCAAATGTTTATAATAATAATAATAATAATAATTACTTTATATAGCACTTTAAAAGCTTCTTAGCACAAAAGATGTATAATATTAAAGGATTAGTTCACATTTGAAAAAACTTTTGCTGATAATTTACTCGCCCCCATGTCATCCAAGATGTCCATGTCTTTCTTTCCTCAGTCGAAAAGAAATGAAGGTTTTTGATGAAAACATTCCAGGATTTCCTCCATATAATGGACTTCAATGGGATCCAAACGGTCCAAGGTCCAAAAGACAGTTAATAACAGTTTCAGATGCAGCTTCAAATGTCTTTAAACGACACCAGACGATGAATAAGGGTCTTATCATGCGAAACGAGCGGTTATTTCAAAACTTATTCCAAAAATGTAACTTTTCTAAGGACAAATGCTAGCCTTGCTCTATTCTGTGAGGCGCGTTTGTAACGTCACGTAATACGTAATTACGTTCAAAAGGTCACGGGCGACGTAGCCGGAAGTACAGAATCAAAATCGTCCGACATCGTTGTTTTACCTTTTAATTCCTTTTTTTGTAAACGGCGTTTGAGTTAGTTTGCACGTTCAACCTATGCGTTCAACTTGTAAACACTGACTCTGTACTTCCGGCTACGTCGCCCGTGACCTTTTGAACGTAATTACGTATTACGTGACGTTACAAACACGCCTCACAGAATAGAGCAAGGCTAGCATTTGTCCTTAGAAAAGTTACATTTTTGTAAAAAGTTTTGAAATAACCGCTCGTTTCGCATGATAAGACCCTTATTCATCGTCTGGTGTTGTTTAAAGACATTTGAAGCTGCATCTGAAACTGTTATTAACTGTCTTTTGGACCTTGAACCGTTTGGACCCCATTGAAGTCCATTATATGGAGAAAATCCTGGAATGTTTTCATCTAAAACCTTCATTTCTTTTCGACTGAAGAAAGAAAGACATGGACATCTTGGATGACATGGGGGCGAGTAAATTATCAGCAGAAGTTTTTTCAAAGTGAACTACTCCTTTAAATATAATAAAAAAATCTATACATATATATATATATATATACCACTTTGCTCAACCGGGGTATAGGTTGCCAGGTTGAGATGACAAACAGGTTGAAATTGTATATGGTGTATGGATTGTGTGAATTTAATTCATTTAATACAAGATCTGGCAACTGGTCAACATTAGACAAACATATTGATCCGGTTATTCATGAAGGAGTTTGGGCTATAGTTCTATAGATGCATATGAATGATTGACTATCCCGAGAGTTGTGTGTGTGTGTGTGATTAGCACCTGTTGCTGCAGCAGGCGCATGTCTGAAGCCTCTCTCTGGTCGCTGTCGTGTATCCGGTGCAGTTCGTCGCAGGTTTGCTGCAGCTGCGAGTGTTGCTGGATGAGCTGAGAGTAGTTCTGCTTCACCGCCTCCATCTCGTCCCGCAGATGAGTCTGTTCACCAACCACACGTCCGTGAAGAGTGCTGAGAGAGACGCATGCGTTACTGATCCACCAGGACATTAACTTCAACCGACGCATAATGTTAATGTTTATTTTATCTGGCAGTTAAACGCACCACATAAAATGAAGACAATGGACTTTAAGACTTTCATGGGTTCGCTTGCCAGTAGCAACAAACTGTAATTAGGAATGTTCACAATGATTTCTCATGAATTATGTTTTGGACTCTTTTATCCCTTCACTCCATTGTTAATGTTTTGTTTGTTTGATTAAATATGGCTTTAAAGTGTATATTCTCCTTTTTTTGTAAAACATACCTACTGTATACATTTTAAGAAACTTTGATCTGTTGTGTTTGCATAAAAACTGATTTAAATCAAATAATCAAAATTGCAAATGAAACAAAGATTATTGGGGGTACGTTCTCACCATTTCAGTTTTTCTACTACAAAATTTCACGTTTCTTTGTAATAATTTCTGAGATTTACAAACAGTTCCTGAGTGAAAATGGTAAATCCTAAATCATCAATAACCGGCCGCCCTGCAAATGTTTGGCTTGCATTTGCACATGCACAAAAACACAATTCAATTCAACAAATCAGAAAAGTAAGATAATATACTGAGGGAAAATGAATTAAACTAAATTATTGGGGTAATCTCAGATGAAAATCTCTAATCTGTGCCACCAGATGTTGCCTTGACTCACGGCAGCCAATCAAAGCCTTCCGCATTACTCTAATGAGATTAGAAATAATAACTAATTATGATTTTAAATTATATGTTTAGAACAAAAATATCAAATATTGGCCGGTCTGTTTATTTGTAAAACTTAAAAAAATTAAATTAATTACATTAAAAGTACACGCTAGCTGAACGATCAATCATTAAAAGATGGTGATCTCGGTACAAACCTAAATGACGACGCCTCACCTGTGTTTATTAAATAATGATTGTATCGTTACGCCACCAGGAAAAAAAATGACTGTTTTTTAGTCATGAAATCATTCAAGTAATGTGTTCAAAATCGCTGATTCATCAGTGTTTATGAGTGAGTCACTGAATCATTCATTCAACCTATTTTTTTAAATAATTCATTCAAATCAATAAAACATTTTAAATAGGCTGCAGCAATTAACATTTTGTCACAAATTATTTTGTTTATTAGCAGAATCGTGGGAGAATCTCTGTTTGAAACAAAAGAAAATTGTGATTCTGAGTTTAACCAGATTCGTACAGCTCAAGTATATATGGTAGGGCTGGGTAATAAATATCGATTTCTCGATATTAATCGATTCTCACTTTTTACGAACAGATATTGATTTTTAAATCTCAAGAATCGATTAGTCATCCTGTTTCATTTGAATGAATGGGACATTGTATTGCGGCTGCGCGCATCTAAAAAAAACAAACAAACAAAAAAAAACGCAATAATCTTTGTTCTTTGTTACTATTGATATGAAACAAAGTCTCAATTTTCAAATTACGTCCAAAAAACGTCAGTTAAACAGCTTGTAATCAATGTCATCGTCATATTTACCTCAGAAAACCCACATAAACTCGTTAGTCAGCTAGAAAAAATAACTCTAGAGAGGAGCATTTTGCTAAATATATACACCATATGCATTATAATCTTAATGTTCTTCAATATTTAAAGCATATTTGAATAAATCAGGCTATAATATGTTGATATTTCATATAATCTTCTTATAAAAATAAATAAAAGTGTAATTTAAGTGTTTGTATAGCTACAAAACAGTTCATTATTACCTTTATATTAGGCTAATGAAGCCGATAGGCTACAACTAGACTCCCATAGTTTACAGCATTAGTTAGAGATTTGATTCCCTTGAGAAAATTTGCCATTTATTGGAACTGATATCCAAAATAATCGATATTGAATCGAAATCAAATCGCAAGCTTGTGAATCGAAATCGAATCGAATTGTGAAATTTGTGTCAATACCCAGCCCTAATATATGGTTAGAATTAAATTGCCCTTATAAAAGGTAGAACGAATAAATAAAATAAATAAAAGTGGCAAATATATGGGTGTAGATCTCACTGGTAGTACTCGGCGTCTCTCACGGCCTCCTCGCATCTCTTCAGGGTTTTGGTGTGCTGGTTCTGGAGAGACTGTAGATCTGACATGGCCTTCATGCACTGAAGCTTCAGACGCTCGTAATCGTGACCCGGCTTCACACTCGGTCTACGGACACACAGACACATCTCATGAAATGATTTGGGTAATCATGCATTATTCGTCATATACACGTCTGATTCAGTGAGATCACACACACGTGCACAGAAAACCTCAGTGTGTGTTTTTTCGAGGTCCATCGGCATTCAGGTGGGAAAAAAAACACAAAAACGGGGCAAAAAGCCTTATTTATGAAATAGTAATGAAAGTAGACATACTTTATTTATACACATAAAGCACTCCGTCCATCTCACGCTCGCATACGGAAACTGTCTTTCAGGGTTAGTGTGTTCTAGAGACTAAAACTGGATCTGAAGCTACGTTTCCATTACCCTTCAATTTGCGCGAAATGGAAAATACGCTCAATGGAAACACGTCAATTTCGCAAAAAAGTTTTTACGCTCGCATGAGGAGGTTTTTCAGGCAATTCGAAAAAGGATTTTTTCGCAAAACTGCGATAGAAACAGATTTTGCGCATTTACAGTCAACCTGACTTAGAAGATGGAGTGTGTTTTAGGTCCGTGTCCGCAAATAATAATAATAATTATCATCATTAGCCTATTATTATAACATTTATTAGGCTACATATGTAGAAGACGCTTTTATCCAAAAAAGGAACAAAGCAATTCGTCACATCTCATTCATAGTAGGCTACAGGTTGGACAATAATAATAATAGGGCTAAGATTATCACAAATAAACACTCAATTTTGACCAATATCCGGAGTTTGGAGGACGCACTGGATGGCAGACCGTGAACACTTTCATTTTCCCATCAACAGTGGAATCAACTTAAAATACTCTATCATTTTTGGTTATACAGAAAATAATAATACATTATTCACAACTACTTTTATGGAAATAATAATACATTATTCGCAACTACTTTTATTTGCGTAATGTCACAATAACAAGAAAACGTTGTGCTTTTGTAAAATAACAAAACAATCAGGCGCGCTTTATGATCTCCGTGAACTGGAGCGCGAGAACTGAACCAATATCCTTTATAGACTAAAGCTTTAAATGTCCACTTTAAAAAGAACAAATTCGAATCGTAAACTAATACCTTCTGATTATGTAATGCGTATGAAAGGTGCAGCTCTCTCTAAAGGTGCATCCGGAGATTATGTTTTTAGCTCGTCATTTTTTCAGACGCATTTATAATAACTCACCACTGCGGGACAAATATCAGAAATGTTCTAATTTGGCCTTAGAAAACCAGTAAAATCTATATTTTTTTCCCCCATATTAATTTGTGAATATTTTAAATGTTTAAAACGGGGCAAAAAGTCATAAATATATGAAAATAATTATATGAAAATATCTGAAAATTCGTTGAGATGTATATAGCGCAGGTTGCTATTGGTGTGGTCAAACTAAAATGTTGGTGTTCAACTTTGCTTTTTAAAAATACAACAACCATTTTTCGTTTTGCAACGACCGTTTGGACATAATATGAGATCTTTATTAAATTCATTTAAAAAAAAAAAAAAGAAACAATAATTACAGGAATAGCCTCTCTAAACCTCAAAGAAATGCCATCAAGACATCGAAGCAGAAATAAGGGAGAAACACCCAGGAACTCTGTGTCTTTCCCTGCCGTTAATGCTTGGATAACACACCACGTCTCCTTCCATCAATAATAATAATGTCTAGTAGAGCCAGACCGATATATCGGCAGACCGATATTATCGGCCGATATTAGGCATTTTCCAAACTATCGGTATCGGCAGTTATAATGGCCGATAAATGAATATTTCAAAAATAAAATAAAAACGGACGAAACACGCTTGAACCATGTCATGAGTGTTGGAGTTGTATAGTTTGTCCACCAGAGGGCGCTCTACACCGTTTCTGTTGGCAACACTCGTTGAGTTGGGCACGAGACATACATTGCTTGAATAACAATTAAAAGAACATTCCCATCAGTTCTCTTAACTCAAATAAGCGACAAAATTTGTGACTATCATGTCCAGTTTAAAAAAATAAATAAATTAATTAAATATCGGCCGATATATCGGAATATCGGATTTTAAAACCCAAAAATATTTGTATCGGTATCGGCCTTCAAAATCCTTTATCGGTCGGGCTCTAATGTCTAGTGTGGTGCATGGCTGTGAAATAGGTAAACCTACCAACGTCCGTTGCAACGATTTTTGGAATAACTTATCGCGAGAGGAAAAAAAAGACGTTTTACGGCTTTTTACGAGTCCTTGAGCCATTATCAGCCGCTTCTGACACCATGTAGAGTGTCCAGTGATACACACACACAGCTCGTGTAAATGCAAACACTTGTCCTTTATTGATGCGTTACCACTTCCTTTTAACAGGGGTCGCCCACATGACATTAACAGCAATACAGATATATTAATAAGTGCCACAACCCTACAGATATAAGTGATAGTGCCACAACCCTACAGTCGCATAACATCGGTTAATGGAAACACCGTCATTTCGCAATAGTTTTTTATCGACATTTGGAAAATATCTGTAAAATCTGTAATGGAAACGCGCCTTGAGATCTCCAGTTCAGTTGCAATCACCCGGTTGGATCTCTTTTACATTAGCCCGACTCACAGCATCCGATATATGACTGTACCTGCAGTCGTCAAAGGTGGTGCCGGGTGAGGAGAGCGCCAGTCTCTTGCGCAGGTCGTCTCGTTCACGGGTCACCTGGCGGAGTTGGAAGATCACCGTCTCCAGTTTCTCACTCATCACACGCTTCTCCGGGTGTGCAGGAGGGGGTGAGGATGCTGGGATTGACAGATATAGCACATCAGTGCTCCGAAAATATATGTTTACATGTAGTTTCAGTATTAAAGAGGAAAATTAGCGGCACACGGACAGTCAAACCAGAATTTATTTAGACACCTTCAACGTTTCTCACATTATCAGTTTCAAAAACTTTTGTCCGTCCTTCTGTTGGACTCTCACACATGAATGATGTTGAACATCTGTTAAATTTAACTACACAATTAGATAATACCAGTTTAGCTCAACCAGTGTTGTTCAGTGTGTGTAAAAACAGCATTAGCAATTACAGATTAAAGTGAATGGTCCCACATTTTGACTGGTAGTCACTGTTTGAAGAATTATTGGGTGTATTATGTCACATTTCACTATATTTTGCTCTCCTCAGTTCCATAAATGAACTATAGTGTCCTGATCACACACTAGTGAAACGATATCAGGTGTCTGAATGATTTTTGGTTTGACTGTAGATGCAGTGCTCAGAAGATGGTAGGCCAGTTTATGAACTTTTGCTTTCAGTTTGAGAGTCAGGTCTGCTGTTCATACAGATGTTATGAATTAACAATGATTTTATCTGGGCCACTGAGCTGACGACCCATCCCATAATGCCTCACTGCAGAAAACAACAGAGACGTCTGTCTCGTTCTAGACGCTTAATAGACAGAAGCGTCTCCAGCTGGTGTCTGCGTTTGCTCCGTGTTTCCCAGCGAGTCCCAGAAGGAAGTCAGTAATAAGTTTAGAATTGAAAAACAAAAGTTTGGTGTCATTAAAATAATGTTTTTGAAATAGTCGTATCATCAACGCTGCATTTATTGTTTAAAAAATACAATAATATTGTGAAAAATTATTACAACATAAAATTTCCATTTTCTATGTGAATATACAGTAAAGTGTAATTTATTCCTGTGAATTTCCACCATCATAAATCCAGTCTTCAGTGTCACTCTAATATGAGGATCTGATGCTCAAGAAACATTTATGATTATTATCAGTGTTGAAAACAGTTCATATTTTTGAGGAAACTGATACATTTTATTTTTTTTGATTAACAGAAAGTTAAAATGAACAGTGTTTATGTGAAAAATGTATTTGTTACTTTTAATAAATGTATTTATTATCACTGACCCCACTTTTGAACTTTAGTGTAAACTTAGAAATCTGATTAAGAAAATTACATAAAAGCCTTTTGCTATTTTAAACCAAAAATAAGTAACAAACTTTCAAATTATTTTAAGTCATAAAGGTCAGGGTAAAAAATAAATAAATAAATACAAGAATAATTAAAAAAAAAAATTCAAATTTTAATAAAAATTCAAAAATCAAAAGATTCATAATTATAATATATATTTACAAGACAAATTAAGCCTATTTTAGGAGCATTAAGATTTTTTACATTATTTCTAGGAAATAATTTCAAGTTCCAAAATGCTGAAGATAGCCATGACTAACAAACACACACACACACACACAAAGGACTCACCAACGCTGCTAAGAGAACTGCTGCTCTCCGAGTCCGACGGCATCGCAGACAGGACGCTGCACGTGGATCCTGGAACACACACACACACACACAAACACACATCAACACTTACTGTATTGTCACTGAGTGGATGAAGTGAGAATGAGAGCATCTGTTCAGTCCGGCTGCATCTCAGTCTGAATTCTCAGTCTTGGACACACTCAAGAGTTACACCTGATAGATTTCATATATATATATATATATATATATGTATGTATATTTTTTTTTTTTTTGGAGGGCAACACTTTATTTTACAGTGTCCATAGCAATAACAGTAAATTATGCATAATTAAATGCAACTAACCCTAAATCAAACCCTAATCCTAACAGACTCTAACCCTATAGTATGTACATGTTAATTAATATTACTCAGTAAATACTTACACTGCAACAATGACACCTTAAAATAAAGTGTAACATTAAAAATAAACATAGATATTGGCAGATACCGATATGGTGGCTGATATCGTGCATCCCTACTATTTTTGTATTTTACTATTAAAACAAATGGAAACTCTTTTTAATTCAGCACTATAGAGCGCAATAATGGCAAATCATTGATGGTCTTTGCTTCTGCTGAAGCCGTTAGCTTACATTTTTTTCAACTTATGTATAAAAATGTTATGTTAAACAGTGGAATTCATGGTGAAAATCTGCATTACCCATGATGCTGTAGAGCATTCCAACAATCGGAGAGTCAAAACAAGAAAGATGTGATATAAATATAATATATCCATATTTTGCAATTAACTTAAAATCTATTGTTTTATATATATAATCGACATTTTTAAATGGGTAATTTTATATTTCTCCATTACTTTCAATTTGATTATGCTGTTTGCAATGCCTCATGGGATTGAAGTTGTTTCCCCTCACCAAGTCTTTTTTTCACTGTTAAACTTTTTTCCTTCAAATCAAAGATTTTGTGATCCTCCTGAAAACTTGAGAAAACTAATGGAAAAAATACGAATGGAAAATACTTCTGTATATAACGCTGCTGAAAAAGTGGGCGGGCACATGTACTGCACAGACGTTTAGCCCATTATGATGACAAGGGTCCATTGTACAGACAAAAACAGTCTTTAAAAATCTTTTTTTTGTGTTCTGCAAAGGAAAGAACATCATAAACTTTGCACATCTGTAAAGTTTTGTCTGTCTTGAGTTTATCCAGACACGTCCTGATCCGATCTGATGCGCCGTCCACCTGCTGACACCCATAAGACCGCGACTGAACAAGCTAAATCAAGTCTCATTCACACACACGGGAAATACAACAAAATATTACAATACATTCAGGACGATATAATTACATATTACACTATAACTGCATTATGGCTAGGGATGGGCAATGATTAATCGCGATTAATCGCATCCAAAATAAAAGTTTGTGTTTACATAATATATGTGTGTGTAGTGTGCATAATTAATTTGTATATATAAATACCCACACATGTGACATGCATGTATATTTTTAATAAAAATGTGTTATTAATATGTCAAATATTTATATTTATATATAATATTAATTATTCATAAATATATAGAAAGTATATACATGCAAATATTTCTTAAATATATACATGCACGTGTGTGTATTTATATATACAAATTAATTATACACACTACATGCACATATATTATGTAAACACAAACTTTTATTTTGGATGCGATTAATCGTGATTAATCATTGCCCATCCCTAAATATGGCACTCCAGCTGTTTTGTAAGGGATGGTGATGGAAAGAGAAACGAGCACTGAATGCACAACAGTAAAACACACCCATGGCCATGATGAGAAATAATTAATACATGAGAGTTAATTAACACCTGAAGTTAATGACAATCGTCACGTTTGTGAGATGTGACAAGGCTCAGCGTTACTATAGCGACGGATCCACACAGAGGCTGATGGGAACTGGGTCAACAAGCAGACAGAAGTGGTCCTGAACCTGCGCAAAAGATCAACGACTCAAACTGGTTTCTAAACATATGACGGACGCACGCAGATAGTGTCAACATACCAACATTTCAGCAGTCGCTTCCAATACCAGTACAAATGTCACGGTTCTCAGTAGCAATTTCACTAGCAAAAGCTCTGCCCTGTTTTGAAGTTAAAAAAAAAAATGAAATAAATGTAATTAGTTAATCAATGTTGTTTTCGTAAACTAAAAACTAAAATAAAGTTAAAAAAATATTTAAATACAGCTGAAATAAACTATCAAACGAAAAACTGAAATATGTTTATGCTGAAGTGCTAAAATATAACCATCAACTAAAGTACACTAATAAAAATGACAAAGATCACATGACAAAATCACTAAAAATTAAACTAAAATTTAAAAAACGTAAAATATTTTTAACAAAAGTGTGTGTGCGTGAGAGGAGAGTGTGTGTGTGTGTGTGTAGTTTGGCATTTAAACAGAGTGCATGAAGCTTGGCAAAGTACAGACCCTAAACTGGACTTCTCTTGAATTCTCTCTCACACACACACACACACACACAGCTGTGAGCCGGACAACGGAAACTTGGACCTGACAGTGAAAGGCGCTCAATCTGTTGAGCCCTCTCTATGTGTGCCAGACTGCATGCTGGGTAGAATCTCAGTGTCCTTCATTACTCACAGCCCTGAGAAACTGACTCCTCCACATCACCAACTGGACAGAGTCATGACGGCTCATCACACACACACTTCATTACAGGTCATCTTCCTCAGCCGAGACTAATGCGCTCTATATGACCGAAGCACCACAGCATTACAAACAACTACAAATCACATAACTGCATAATGGTCAACAATTTACAAGGTTTCATTTGTTAACATTAATTACCTAACAATGAACAGTAGTTGAATAGCATTTAATGTTAATCTCAACATTAACAAATTAAACATTGTCTGTTAAAGGCACACTATGTAATAGAGCCAGACCGATAAATCGGCAGCCGATATTATCGGCCGATATTAGGCATTTTCCAAACTATCGGTATCGGCAGTTATGAAGACCGATAAATGAATATTTCAAAAATAAAATAAAAACGGACGAAACACGCTTGAACCATGTCATGAGTGTTGGAGTTGTATAGTTTGTCCACCAGAGGGCACTCTACACCGTTCCTGTTGGCAACACTCGTTGAGTTGGTCACGATACATACATTGCTTGAATAACAATTAAAAGAACATCCGCATCAGTTCTCTAAACTCAAATAAGCGACAAAATTTGTGACTATCATGTCCAGTTTTGCTGCTGTTAAATAAGCCGAGAGTGAAGCGGGATTAGCTAGTAATAATTACGTTACGTTATTACAGTGTAGTTGACTGACTGTCCTTTTAACTTTTGACAACGTGACTGAAGTATTTCTTTAATAGCACGTGAGAGTTATAGCAATGAGACGTATCATCTCTCCTTGGTCTGTTATAGTGAAAATGTATGTTTTACAATTTGCAGAATGACGTTATCCATTGCTAAATTAAGGCTCATCACAGACTAGCTAACCACAAAGCTAGCTAATGCCACTATCATCAGTCTGTTCTGTTGTGACAATAAAAGAAACAAGTTTCTTTATAAAATGCATTATCATATTATTTTAGTTAAAACTCATAAATAACTACAAATAACTATTGGGAAATCTGTTAATGTTTTGTTGCACATTTCTGAAAAAAAAAATATCGGCCGATATATCGGAATATCGGATTTTAAAACCAAAAAATATTTGTATCGGCCTTCAAAATCCTTTATTGGTCGAGCTCTACTATGTAAGTTTTCACCACTAGGGGTCGTTTATTTAAAACAAAGGCGTAGCTTGATGACGTCTTGATGTCGCTGAATAATGGGAATAGTCGTTTCACCTCTACAGCCGGTGGAGAATATCATCATGTAGATTTATTAACGTTACAAAAGCCGTTGGATCAGAACGAAGCCGTTAATAAAAGACGAGCACGAGAACCAAGGAGATTTGATCATAACACAGACGCCGCTGATGCTTCTTCCGGTCATGTGTGTGTGAGGTGTGTCCACCAAAGCGTTTTTCCACGTGCCTGGCGTATGTTTTCAATTGTTTTCAATGTGAGCGCCACGTTTTTTAAACGCCATGAGCGTAACGAGGCGCTGAGCATTTAAGCACCGAACACCCGGCGTTTTTTACTGGTCGCCGAGAGTTGAAAAATGTTCAACTTTGGATAAAACGCAGCGCTCATCACTGTCACTTTTTACCCAGCCGTCCAATCACAGTGGAGGAGGGGCGGGACTAATACCACATCGACCAACTGTCACAACATTCTTACTGTACAACGACATCACCCACCAGAGCTAACCCAACAAAATGGATGAAAATTAATTTTTTTTGTATGAAATAATTTATCAGCGAAATCAGTTACAAGTAAACTGTGCTGCGGATATTCTGTATCATAGCAACAAAACGTCTCAACGGAAAAACACTGCACTACCAAAACGCTCTCAAGCGCCAAAAGCACGGCATTTTCAGCTGGATAAAAACGCACATAACATAATATATTAAAGCGTCTTTCTATGGTTTCTACAAAATAAAACTGGAAATCGAGGGTGACGCGGGTATGATGTCATTGATAGGCGTGTCCTGGTTAAAACTGCTTATTTCCCTGGATTTAAACATTCTTAGAAACATTTGGGATAATGTAAGTACACAAGTCAAAATATATAACATTGTTCTAGTGGCTTTGGGAAACTTTGATCCAAAAATCTTACATAGAGTGCCTTTAATATACAGGTGGAACTCGAAAAATTTGAATATCATGCATTATGTATTTCAGTAATTCAAATTAAAAGATGAAACTAATAAATGTATATATAACTACATACATATGCATGATATGGGCAGACATTACAGTATTTAAAATCCTTTTTTTTATTGATTTTATGTAATATTCTAATTTTCTGAGATTCTAAATTTGGGGTTTTCATAAGCTGTAATCCATAATCATCAAAATTATTAACTTTTGCACAATATTCTAAGTTTTCGAGTTCCACCTGTAAGCCCTGTGCACTGTGTACTAATGCGAACATTTTTATTTAACTAACAAAAATGCTGTAAAATGCATTGTTCATTATTAGTTCATATGAGTTAGGAATCTATTAATTGCGCAGATTAAATGTATAATCAATAACAAATATAAAAAGTATATGTATATATATATATATATATATATATATATATATATATATATATATATACATATATTGCTGCTTTGTCCTCAATTATGCAGTGTAGTTTTACCCAAGAATTGAATTATTAAACATGTTTTAATAACCTCTCACTTAACCTCAGATCTCATGACACATCTGCTTTGAAAGCTCTTTATGTTATCACTAAAAATCAATGGGGATCTGTGCCTGCGCCTGCGGTCACGTTCTATAGGGGTTTTATATAAGTGAGGCGGTCGGTCAGCTGGCCTATTATGGACACAATCACTCAGGAATAGGGGTGTCACAATAGATCGCAACAAAATGCAACAAAATGTATCGTGGATAGTGGCAATATTATGCATTTTGTTTTATTCACCTAAATAAAAATTACTGTGTAAGAAAAAAATTCAAGTTTACAAAGTTTTAGTGTCAATACTACATTAAACTGCTGTATATAATGTTGAGTATTATGTATTATAATGCAATATTTGTGGGTTCTTCTGATAATGCCAAATGTTTTATGTTACAAAGTGGCGTATATTATTTTAAATACATCTAGTCAGTGAAAGAGTGAAATATTGTTATTCTGGTGTCTCTATTGTCCTGTGCTTTGGGTTTCAGCACCAAGTCCAAGCCTATTCATGTACACGCACAATGTATAATTTAGCATTTACATTTTATCATATGTCTCGGAGTATCGCAATAATATCGTATCGTGAGTCGAGTATCGTGATATGAGGGTGTCGTTACACCACTATTCAGGAGTCAGGAGCCTATTTATTTATTCGTAGCACGATTAAAAACAGCCTAGAGTCATGAGAGGAACTGATCAGAGACTCTGTGATAAATCAAGCTAAACAAACCCAACAGAACCCAGCTGTGCTTTATATTGCCCACCATCATAGATGCTCTATTTAACAGACAGACTCGAAGCGACTCTTCCCCTCAGTCTGGAACGGCTGCCCTGGTCCAATATCACTCACACATGTGTGTCATCCAATCAGATTCCTGTAACGGGGCTTTAATGGCTTTCTAGGTAATGTTATTTGATCCAGGTTTAAGCTGCATTATTTTATAGACTGCAGCTATTTCTGGCTTATGGCAAAATCCCTGCATGTCTGATGAGTTTTTTTGGCCGCAGGAATCTGAGGAACATCTGTAACACATTTACTGTACGACGTTTTGCAAGGCAGATTCACACAACAGCTTTGTAACGCTTTACTCATCACCGGCTGCGACGGATCTGTGTTTTCTATAAGGACATGCATCAGCTGAACATCTCAGCATCTGTCCAGCGCAAACCATTTCTCATACGGTCAACAAAAACTAGACATTAATACACACACTACCACCAAATATTACTACATCCCCTGACAGTAATGTGACAAGCTAAAACTAGTTATGCACATAATGATTATGCATGCAGCTTTTATGGTGCATGCAGTACTGGTCAAAAGTTTGGAAACATTTTTAATGTTTTTGAAGAGAAGTCTCTTCTGCTCATCAAGCCTGTATTTATTTGATCAAAATATTAATCGCAATAAAAATAAAATGAGCTGATTTCTATTGTGAATATATAGTAAAATGTAATTTATTCATCATTATTGTTGTAGTCAGTGTCACATGATCCTTCAGAAATCATTATAACATGCTGATTTATTATCAATGCTGGAAACAGTTGTGAAAGTTGATGAATAAAAAGTTAAAAAGAACAAATAGAAATCTTTTGAAACAATACACATTCAGTACCGTTCAAAAGTTTGGAGACAAAGATTGATATTGTTGGAAATATTTCTATTTTGAATATATGTTGTTCTTTTTAACTTTTCATGTATATTAAATTGTAATAAATGCAGCCTTGATGAGCGTAAGAGACTTCTTACAACAACAAAAAAATGAAATAGTGACTTTTCACTGGTATTGTATTCATACTGAGACCATTATGAATATCTATACTCAAAAATTGCAAAAAAGTAAGCTACCTAAAGAATAAAAACGTTATTAAATATTCAAATTGTGGCATATATTATTATACTCAAACATGAATGTAAATGTCCCTAGTGTTTCTATATGTTGAAAATGAGTTCTTGTATCGTTGTTCCTGTGTGTAACCAGGTTAAATAACACTTCTCTGGGTATAATGCTGGAATGACAACAAACTAAACTGAGGTGTTTTGACTAGTAACCCTGACTGGAGGAGTGTTGTGTTGTAAACCGTTGTCCCAGTGGATGTGCGTAACGTTACCCGTGTTGTTGTGGTTGTTCGCAGGCAGCAGAGCGCTGAGCAGCACCGGGTGGGTTTTCTCCAGAGCCCAGCAGAACTCCTGGAAGTGATCCCTCTCCTTCTTCTCCACCAGAGTCTTGAGGAGCAGATGGACCTTCTCGGCGGAGCTGGAGCAGTTTCTGTCGAGCTCCGCTCGCTCGGCCGGGCTCAGACTCCCTGACTGGGCCAGCAGCTCCAGAACCCGGTCCACATCTGTGACGGACTCCGACAACTTTTCCTGGCACTGCTCTAACAACTCTTTGTGCTTGGGATCCATCACACCCGGTCCGGTCCGCCCGCTACAGAACGACACAAAGCGCTGAAAACAACGACGCTCCTGTTAAAGAGTTTTTTGTGTGAGATTGAAAGAAGCAAGAAGCCATCTTTGCGACTTTAGGAGAGACTCCAACGGTTTTTCTTCTTCTTCTTCTTCTTCAGCTCCGGAGAGTCTCACATCTTTGCCAGTTCTCGGTTTCAAATCGATTGGCGGTGGTTTGACGGCGCTCGTAACTTTAACTCACTTTCGATCATTTTAAATTTGTTAGAAAGTTTGACAGTTTATCACTAATTCTCGCCGTAACTCCAATGATCAGAGGTGCGGCGGAGCTCCGCCATGACTCCACAACTCCGCAGCTGCTATCATCTGCCAATCAAAGCCTAGCAGAGGGAGGGGCACTGAGGATGGGGCGGGGCTCCCGCCTGCCAATCAAACCGGTTCAACAAGAGGGGAACGAGAAAGGGGCGTGGCTGCTACATGCCACTCAAAGCGGTTAAATGGGAGGGGAACAAGTGAGGGGCGGGGCTTCCGATAAAACACCTAGGCGTTCACTGGCGAGATTATTTCATTATTAACAGATGAGTACAAAGTAACAAAACACTTTCATGTTGTTGTTTTTTTCTTTTATGCTTTTCCTGTATTCGTCAACTCTTAGATAATGATGTCATCTCTATAAAACTGGCTGAATATAAGCATTAAATGCCTGATTATTATACATTTAAATTTCATTCAGGACTGACCTGTGGTGTGGTGTGACATGCTATAATTCATGTAGCCTAAAACAAATTGTTTTAAAACATTTTTAGTGCACAAAACTCATTAAGTTAACAAATGTATTTAAAAATGGTGGAAAAGTGTATAGTCATGTATATGTTAATGTTAACCAAGAATCTTGGTGTTAAAAATCCACAAATCATATAAGATAAAGCTGAGAAAATAAAACAACCATTGCTCACCTGTTGCCAAGGTTATTTGGCATTTTATTTTTTACTTAAACAGTAAAGTCCACAAAGCAGAATATGATATTTAGATAACATTTGATTTTCCATTATTAACTCTGGTGTTGTGTAATTACACACTCACTTGTCCACAGAAAACACATACAATAAAATAAGCATTGCATTTACAGCAAAATTAAGTGTTTTAATAAACAGATTTTAACTTACATTCACTTAATATAACTTCAATTAACAGGATGAAATTGATAGTTAGCATACGCTAGTTTTTTTAAATATTTTTAACTTTCAAAATATATTTCAAAACTGTTATCTTTGATATTATCAGACTGATCCACGTACTTTGATCAAATAGAGCGACACAAATCAACAAACAACACAAAACCTCATTGAATCCATCAAATTCTTACTGATGATGTTTGTGCTGCTGCTGATTTCCCTCCAAAATGATGTCACTTTCCTGTCAGACGATGTCATTAAGTAACTGTGATTTTACTAAATAAAAGACTAATGGGTTTGAATGTGATATTGAGGACATGGGAAATGTATCACCCATTTAAAAAAAAAAATCCTGAATGTTTAAGTTTCAATTAAGGATTTGATTGATTTCCATAAATGATCAGTTTTTGATTGTTGAAGTTCATTGTGTAGCACAGCATGTACAGTAAAAACTGAACATCCACTCAAACCCAAGTAAAGAAATGATTTCCATGAAGGGACATGAGAATGTAGTTTAGCTCATAGCAGGATTGATCCAGGTGTAATATGAGCTCAAGTCTGAGATAAAACAGCCTGACACATGTGAGATGAGGACCTGAAAGGAGCAGTACTCATGTCACGTGATCGTGTTTAGTGATTACATAACCTCACAATCTCACCGGGTGTTTAATTTGGAAACTCAACGGAGTCTTGACTCCCAGCCGTACTCATCTGAGAGGACTTTTATTAGCTTTAGCACTGCTGGAAGCAACAAATCCCAACAAACATGGCGACACCGGGGCTAGTTGTCACACTCATTACTCCAGCGAATACTTCTCAGTTTAAATATCAATTTCAATGTCTGTACTATATAGGCTATTTAAAAGCTTGCAGAAAAATAATTATAAAACAGCACAAACATTTGTATTAAAAACATGTTGCCAACTTACAAAAAGCACTAGTTTAAAATGTTATATTTATATTAAACCATTGTTGTTATCAAACCAAATCAATTTACGAAAGCTTAAAGGATGTGACAACTTGCCTACAACTCTCTCGATCTGGCAACTCGATTAAACTTTTCTTTCCCCTTTTAAAACTGTAGTTTGAACTGTATTGCATCATTCACGGTGCATTCATCTAAATCCCCGCCGCCACTGTAAACGGAGGCAGAGATTTGAGAGGATTTGTTGATTATATTAATATTATATTAAGCTAAAGCCTGAGCTCAATGTGTGTATTGAATGTTTAAATCTGAAACTCAGATTACAGATTTAATCTCCATATAAAACCCAGATAACAGCGATCAAAAAAGACTGAATATATGTCTGATCGCAGATGGCATTTGGAATTGTATCAGGCAAATGAATTCAAATGATTATAGCCAACACACACAGATGATGTCCATGTACACTAATGGAGCACACACACACACATATGGAAGGTCATGAACTCTAGACCTGTTTGTCCAATCAAATCACTTGTTTCACCCACTGGTAACAACAGAGAGAACATCGACATTGGGTTTATACGCTGATAATGGATGGAGATGACCTGAAAAATGAATGAATGAAAATGTTATCCTTCTTTTTTATGCTTTGCATGGATGAAAGTGCTTTTGAAATGCAAATTCAAACTATTTTTAGTCACTTGCAAGCGCACACTGCAACAGCTTGCACTTTTATATAAGCAAGCACACATAAAAAAAAAACATGGCAACTTTACAATAAGGCTCCATAAATTAGTTAAAGGTAACGTTTAGTTCAAAATTAACAAAATATAAATAATGATACTCTACACATGCATCATCAATGATTATTCTAAAAGGTGTTTTTGTCTTACCCGTAAGCTTATTAGTGTTTATTAAAGAGATGTCGGGGTGGTTTTCGCGGGAAACTGCGTGCATATGTCGCTCGCCTTTGCGTGCTCGTCATATCCGTAAACAGAGAGAATGGGCTCTATGCACGGCGTTATTTCCGGTGAAGGATTAAGGATGCTCGATAACTTCCGCCGATCATATAGAGTCCAATGCAATACCGAGAATTTATATTGAATTTTATACTCCATGGTTATACTAATGAAACGTTAGTCACAAAAACAGATAAAACAGACACCCCTCGTTGTGTTTATGCTTCTTTTTAAAATTATATTAAATAAACATAACTATATATAAAATTACATCTAAACGTATGTACGTTTCGTTTCAAAGACGGGAGGACAGTAAATATTGAAGACTCTGCCATAATCCCGTTTTCTCCGGTTTTCCTCCGCTTTAATCTACACAACCGGAAATGGACGAGCATCCTTGCGTCAAATGCGGAACTTATGCGTGCATATAGCCCATTATTCGTTGCTTTGACGCATGTCTGGTGTGGGAGTGACAGAGGTTTTGTGTCACGAGATCTTCCTTTACTTCTTTTTGTCAGTAAAGTAAAGTCTTCCGCTGGTCAGCTTGAGATCCTTTCAAAACTATCCTAATAGTGAATGTGTTATGAGTAGGATAATAATATTCATCCGCAGTCACGCAGAGACGAAGCACAACTAAACCAATGTTCTTCCGCAAAATGCAGTTTTGTTTCTTTATCACCTGAGGGGTTTGGAGTGTACCTTGTAACATGAACTATGGAAAAAATACTTCTTATTAAGAATGTATTAATCTTACTAAAGATGAATTTCAACATTTACGGATATATTACTAAAAATCAAGAGTTGTAGCTATTGATTAACATGGACCTGAGCAAACATGAACAAACAATAAACAGTGACAGTCGCATTTTTATTAACGAAGATTAATAAGTACTGACTGTATTTCTTATTGTTAGTTGGTGCGTTAATTAATGGGACATTTTGCAAACTGTTACCCAAAACACAGCAATTAATCAATCCAAAGTAAGAAAAGTAGTTCTCTTAGTCATTCACAAAGTGTTTTTATTAAACAGACACATGTTATTAGACGAGATTAGTTGGCTGAGTGAACATACTAGTAAATCCCTGAAAAAAGGAGTCTTCATGTTAATAAACAGCACAAGAGTATCCTTTTTAACTAGTGATTATCAAGATGAAGAGTGGTCACTTTACTGCCCTCTACCGCAGCAGCAAAACATAAACAGATTCATGCTAAACAACAACACGTGCTCACAAAACTGCTCATATTTCACCCCAAACGCATATAGAGGAAATACAACATTAAATTTAGCATGAATAAGAAATTATCTGTCTATGAATATGCATTTCCATGTTGCGAAAATATTATTTTAAATTGTAAAAGAACATTCAAATTGTATGATTTTTATATTTATTACTAAAAAAATGCTAAAAAAATATTGTGTTTCAGTACTAAGACTCGCTAAACAATAATGAGAATTACTACAAAAGTGTAGATGCGTTAGACATGGAAATGTAGGGGGAAAACTTGCCTAATTGTCATAGGGAAAAAAAACGTCAGAATCGTAATGTTTATAAAATAGGCTTTAGCAAAATTAATTTCTTGTTTTTAGGGTGAAATATGACATGAGCTGCACCCAGAGACCTTCATGATGATTGACACTTAGCTCTTCCTCAGAGAACTCTTGAATAGCTCACTATATAAAAACTATGGCGTATATTTCAGTACTTCAAGGCATTTGAGAGTTCAGTGATGATGTTCGGATTGTACAGATTGTGTTTTTGGTTGCGAACGACAATCACAGGTTCTGATTCCCCTTTGGCATCAGTTACTGAAGACACTACATGTATATATTGATGCATCAGTTACAATATATATATATTTATAATTTCTAGATATCATGCATAGTCTGATTAGATAGCAAAACAAATAATAAACTATATTATAATAATAATATTAATGTTGTCTCTAAGGCACAAATGAAATGCTATTTTGGCTGTAAACTTTATAAAGCTGTGAAGAGAGAGATTACTGTATTAGTTAACAAGACACTACTATCTGACATATTAATATATATATATATATATTTATATATGGGCAAGATTAATATGATAACGCCACATATCCAGTCGTGATGGCACGGTGTCTGTCGTCCTGGATCTTCAGTCACTTCCTCCACACAGCTTCAGCAACAGCTTCTTGTAATCACCAGACGTGTCTCCCTGATGATCAATACTTGTGTTTATACCAGTGTGATATATTCATAATAATCTATTTTTAGCTACAAGACAAATAAACTCTTTAATTTGCTCATTAATT